ACTTGCGGAACTTGTACAGTGCGAATAAATCGCGTCGTCGTCGAGGGGCGAATACGAAGAGGGGTGCGAAAAGAAAATACAATAATATGTCGCCACTGCGTCGCGCGGTGAAATCATGTGGTCGCGCTCCGCTCCGGAGAAAGCAGTGACATTTCGGACGTACGTTCCGGAACGGTGTACACAGCCCGGAACGCCGCCTTCCTCACCTTCGGCCTTTCCGTTGAAATGATCGAATTGGCAGCCGGGCTCGTCGTGGCGCTCGTAGTACGGACCACTACCATTCGCGAAAAGAGAATAGCGTCGGAGATGAAGAGAAAGCTTCTTCGTCGCTGTGTGTGACTTCGACTTTTCGCGACTTCATTTATGTACATATATAAATATATATATATAAATAAATATACACGTGCGGGGGTGAGACAGGTCTGTTTTACGGAAGGCGATTAGTGAGTAGGTAAAAAAAAAAACAAAAAAAACAAAACAAAAGAAGAACAAAAAAATAAAATTAAAAAAATTAATAAAAGTTAGATGCGCTCGAAATCGGCCTGGAAAAAGAGCAGAAGGAGGACGCTCTCTTGAATCACGGTGACCACGGTGACCTATGTGCGATGCGCGAGAATCGTTAAATCGACGAGCGCCGAACCGGTTCGTCGCTGATGGTCCCTGGTTCGACGATCGATCGCCAATCACACGAAATTACCGCAGGGGCGAGAGGGACTTACGAGAACCACACGCCATCGCCAACAACGACAGAAGAAGAAGACGAAGAAGAAGAAGAGAACGAGAGAAAGAGAAAGAGAGAGAGAGAGAGAGAGAAGAATTTCGAGGAACAATATTGTTGAGAATCATTTAAAATAATGTTTCTGCGCATCGACGACAGGCTGCTGCGCTTTGGGGTACTGTTTCTGTTGTGGATAGGCTCGAGTCGCCAGCAGGAGGAGGACATACCTCACAATGAGTAAGTGCGAGTCACGATCGCGAGTAATGAGCGAGTTCTCCTCGTAGTAGCGATTAGGTTGACGGTGGTACGAAGGGGTTGAAGGAGGGCGGAAGGTAGGGGAAAAATTACCTACAAGAAACCGGACATCGATGACGCATGAGAGAAGTCCGAAAGAGGCTGTCTGGGAGAGTGCAAGACAGGGTAGGGGTGGTGGCACAAGGGGTGTATGTGCGAGCGATTGGATGGATGGGGTGCATAAAGCTCTCGACGAGCAAAACTCGATAGGGAGCAGAAGGAGTACGAGGAGGGCGAATGCGAGGGGATGGACGAAGGCGAGAACGAGCGTGCGAGCAGCACGGGTGGGGAAATAGGTGCGCGTCGGAAAGAGAGAGAGAGAGAGTGTGTGATAGAAAAGAGAATGCGAGGAAGAGAGAGAGAGAGAGAGAGAGAATGAGAAACGAGAAACGTCGTCAAGCTATGTTGAGGAAGAAAGGCGAATATGCAGGGTCGAAGGAGCGGGAGAGATTTCTTGCTGGGGGGGTGGCAGGGAGAAAAATGAAGAAGGATACGAGGGAAGATGTACAAACGAAAAAATCCGAAAGGAGAGAAAAATGCGCTAACCTGGCAAAAGAGAGGGGGGAGGGAGTAATTTGGCGAAAATTAAGACAGAAGCGCGTGTAAAGGTGGGACAGACGGAGTAAAAAAAAAAAAAATACGACGCACTGATTGAGAGCATGAATAAACTGAGAAATGAGAGAAGGACAAAAATATGGGGTGGAGAACGTATGAAAAAAAAAAAAAAAAAATGACCAAATCAAAAAGCGAGAAATTTTGCTTTTAATTTTCTCTCTGCTTTTTTGTTTTCTCTTTTTCTTAATTCAAATATCTGATAAAAATTTCTGCTGAAATAATGTAAATATTCAAAATGAATGTTATTAATTATTGCAGAGTAAAAAACTGGGCCTTAAAATTTGGCGTTGATCTGTGGGAATTTGGTAAACAAGCAACTAAAATGAGCGAGATAACGAGAGTAAGAAACCACACATATACACCTACAAACATAAATATATACGTATATAATTTTATAAATTTATAAAATTTGTAAATTATTTGAAGCAGCATGTTTGCTTGCAAATGCTTAAAATTTGATTTTTTTAACGATTGCGTGTATACACATAGTAAAAAAAAAAAAATTATTTTATTTTATTTATAGCAAATTATTTTACATTATTTCTAAACTCTCTTCACAGCAAACATACTTTTGACGCTATCTCTCTTACGCACCGATTTTTGCTTTATTTAGAAATATCACGAAGTGGACAGCAGCATCACAAAAAAAGACGGTCTCGTCCTCGTTCGGGAAATGGCCATGGAGGTGAAAAACCTGATGGACTTTAAAATGAACGCCGTGATGGTACGCATTCGTGAAGTAAACGTTGAAATCAAAATAAAAATCGATTTATACACAAAATTTTATATTTACGCGCGTAAAAACGTTGCATGTGCAATTTGCGTTTCGTTATATTCTTTCGCAGAGATTGGTGGAAAGCGCCGAACAAACGGCCTTGTCGGTGTCGAAGGAGGGAAGCGTGCCACCCAAATATTACGCTTCTCATCGGCTTAATTTCGTCACCGACGACGATGCCGGCGCTCAGGATATGTTCCTCGCTGCGAATCGTCACTTCGACCATTTGGCAGTAAACGTCACTCTGTCCGCTGTGCTCTTACCAAGCGGAGTCAAAGACAACGGTAAAGTATACAGAACGAACATATGTGCATTAACGTTTCGCAAGAAAGAAAGGAGCCAATGGTTCTGAATTGTTCTTGTGTGTGGTTTTTATCGTGTGGACAAGATTATAGACCGCGATAACTTAGATCACACTTTTAAAATTAGACTCTTTGCTCTTTTTGTAGAACGCGATGTTGCCTCGGGCATTCAATGGAGCGAGTATTTGGACCTTTTGTTTGTTAATAATTACGAGAGCGATCCTACGTTATCGTGGCAATATTACGGAGCAACGACGGGATTTCTACGTCGTTTTCCAGGTACTTGTATATATATATACTCGTGAAACCGACTATAATTACAAAATCGCAAATAAAAATCCCGTAAAAGTCGTGAAAAAAAAAAAAAAAACTCAACTGAAAACCACGTAGTTCGTAAGGGAAGGGGGTACTGATGCGATATTCGTTCTTGCGTAGCGATATCGTGGCCGCCGATCGAGGGCACGTCAACGTCCAAGTCTTACTCGCATCATCGAGCTGTTCGCGACGTGTACGACTTCAGGATGTCGAATTGGTTCGTCGGGGCGGCGAACAGTCCGAAGGATCTGACGATTCTGATCAACAGCGCTACCTATACGTCCGATCGAAATCGACGGCTGACGATGGCTACGACAAAGGTGATCCTGGACACGCTAGGACCGGACGATTACGTAAACGTTTATCGATACGGCGAGAATGCCGAGGAGATCGTGCAGTGCTTCAAGGATAGCCTGGTGCAGGCGTCGCCGGAGAATATCCACGAGATGAAGGTGGCGTTGTCCTCGATAAAGCCCGAGGATACCGCGACCAATATCTCGGCCGCGCTCAGCACCGCCTTCGAGATCCTGCACAAGTACAATCGTACCGGTCAGGGTAGCCAGTGCAATCAGGCAATCATGCTCATCACCTCGGAGACCGACGGTCCGCCCACGGAGGTGATAAAACGTTACAACTGGCCTCACATGCCCGTACGGATCTTCACCTATCTGATAGGAGGCGACAAGAGTCCCGATCTCCAGAACACGGCCTGCACGAACAAAGGTTGTCGATCAATGTGTATCGCGGACATATGTTGTTAAATGAATTAATTAACGACTAATTACATGAGAAGATTAGAAATTCAAAGAGTTAAAGATTAAATTTGTGTGTGTGTGTGTGTGTGTCTTTTTTTGATTGGCGATTTTATAGGATTTTACGCGAGAATAACATCCATGGACGAGATTCACGATAAAGTCTTCGAGTACGTGAAGGTTCTCGCGCGGCCTATGGTGCTCTATCTGCACGATCATCCAATTCACTGGAGTCCCGTTTACGTAGGCGGAAAGGTAAGGCGATTTAATCGACTGGAAAATCATCACGGAATGTTCTGCGATATTAATTATTGTTGGTACTTTCAGAGCAGTAGATATGGCAGGGAAAATCGCGGACAGTTGATGACATCCGTGTCAGCTCCGATATTAGATCGCCGAAATTATACGGTATATAAATATAAAATATATATATGTATATACAAAATATATATATATACGCACACACAATCACATACACATACACACACACACACACGTGTATGTTTGCGCGTGTGTTATTTTATATTTCGAGAAAAAAAATGTGATAGACATTTTAATCACGCATTGACTTTCATGTTAAATGTGAAGTAATATTCAAATAAATTGTACTTCACTCTGTACATGTTATTCGTTTATAAGGAGAAAACAGCCAATTTGTTGGGTATCGTTGGTACTGACGTATCTGTCGAGGAGATTCAGAAACTTGTGCCACCTTACAAGGTACAGACCATCTAACGCTCTTTCTCTCTCATTATCACTCAAGTCTGATTGCACCAAAATAGATTTGCAAGTTTACACAAAAAATCTTGAGGAGGAAAGAAAAATATAACAATAATAGACTACTTTTCATAAAAAATCTCCCTCTTTGATAACAGAAAGAAAACTTAGCTGCAAAAAAAAAAACTTTGGTACAATCAACCTTTAGAGTATTAATTTAAGTTTCTTGATACTTTTTCGATTAATTAAACAACATGTTGTTGTTTCGCTTACAGTTAGGAGTTAACGGATATTCGTTTATTGTTGACAATAATGGCAGAGTTCTGTATCATCCTGACTTGCGGCCTCTAGTAAGTATCTCGCTTCGTTACGTGTAGACAAACATGATTAAAAAAAAAAAAAAAAACACTTGGAGGAAATCGTGTTGTTTCATTTCACCGCCGATCTTTCTTTATTTCTTCGACGTGCGCGCGACACATTTTTAAACGCCACATGTTTGATTTTCAAGAAACAACAAGAACTCGTAAATTGCGCTGAATAATTTAAACGCTTATTTGCTCTTTTTTTAAATAAGTTCATAAAATTCTTTGACGTGCCACATTGGTGTAGTAATTGCGTGAATAATGTTTTTTTTGCAGCCCGGAGTTACAGATGTAAGTAAAAAACCCGAACAAATGTTCGTAGCGTCTTAATTGTTTCTTCTCTTTTACATATATGTATATATATTTTTTTAAATGTATCTGAAGAGAGTTTTGTAAAAAGACTGTTCTTGCTTTTTCAGTACGAAGAAACTTTAAAACCTTCGTATATAAGTGTAGATCTATCGGAAGTTGAACTCGCAGAAAATGATGGCCCTGCAATTCCCCCGAATAATTCGCTCTTGCTCGATGTAAGTGCAATATGCGATTCGATCATTTTTTTTTAGTTTTGTTGTGCCAACTTGTGATTGTGACAAAAATACGATATCGCTAATGCGCGACTAATTGTTCCTTTCAGCTAAGACGTGATATGATCGATCAAAAAGAAGGAGAAACGGATTTCACAATCAAAATACATTATGACGATATGGTGAGACGATAGAAGTTTTTTCTGAAGTTACACAAACGTAAATTTTATTTTCGTCTTCTTATGCAATATTTTTGAATGTTTTTTTTTTTTGCAGAAAAGAGTTACGATTCGACGGCACAATTATTTTTACAAGCCGATCGAAGGCACCCCGTTCTCCTTAGGCTTAGCTCTACCGGAAGGCTACGGCATGTTCGAATTGCACGCCGAGCAGGAGATCAAGCTCGCTATTGTAAATGGTAAGTGTGTCATCGATTTTTGTTCTTAAAAATGCAAAAAAAAAAAAAATAAAACACGTTCGATGATGTTGAAACACCACTTGTTACGATGTTGTGTTACAGTAACAGAGTATTTCAAAGGGAGCAACTGGAAAGTGCATCCCGATTGGGTCTACTGCGAGTACAATTCGGCTTCCGATAAATTTTTTTCCACCCCGGAAGAGCGCATCCTGCATTTTTTGGCACGGACGCGCAGACCGGCGTGGAAATGGATGTCCTTGAGACCAAGGAGTCCTAGCTCGCATCATAAGCAAGCGAGCAAGACGGATAAAGATGCTTATTATTGTAAGTAACTTATCCCGTTTGATTTTCATCCACAAATAACATGTCGAATAATTAAAATTGTTTTATAATTTAAAAAAAAAAAGACAAAATATATATGCACAAATTTTGAAGAAAATCTGTTGTTTTTTTCTTTTTCTTTTTCAATCAAAACAAACTTGTGTACGCGACTGTGTTTCAGGTGATAAGACCTTAGTACAATCTCTGGTTTTGGACGCTTTAGTAACGGACGGATTTGATAAGAGAGAACCGCCGAGAGTGCACAAAGAAGAAAACGAGAAGTAAGTTAACTCGACAACAGTAAGCAAAGAGTGCACGTCTGTCTTTCACTTTCACCCATATATAATCACACACATATATATATATATATATATATATATATATATTATTATTGCAAATTTGTACCTACCGATCGAGCACTGCAAAATGCACAAGATCGCACCGCGTTTTACTTACGCACCGCACAAATATATTGCCGGTCACTTTTGCAAATTTATTCGATCACCACTACCACTGCCTTGATTACAGCCCGATGATGCGTCTTGGTTTGCATAGTTGTGTTTTGCAAGATGTAGAAGTTACACGAGAGAGAAAAAACAAATCTGAAAATATGCAACAATAACACATTTTTGACAGATACACACAATTCACGTCCACGTCAAGTTTGCGTATGTGAGAAAAAAGGTCCAGATCCACACGTGTCTATAAAGCGTAATAATAATAATAATAATAATAATAATAACAACAACAACAACAACAACAACAACAACAACAATGATAACAATAATAACAATAATAATAATATAGAAAAATAATATAGAAGAGATCATCTTTATAAGGAGTTTAGATATCGCTCGCACGTTATATACATAGCACATAGGCACATATGGTATGTGTAAAAAAAAAAAAAAAAAAACAACTCAGTATATAAGATAATACTATTATGATATTGTTATTACTCCACTTTAATACAATTATATGCAAAGTGAACTATGCGCAACCGTCTCTCTCCAACATTTCATTTCACAATATTATCTTTTATTGCATATTTTTATTACATTTTATTATTGTGTGTCTCCACCGCTAGCCCTATTGCCATACTGATGGCTCTACTGCACAGGTAATCCATTATGCACAATTATTTGTTTAACATGTTAAACACTTTTGTCGATAATGCACGGTAATATGTACTCACTTTGTGATGATCGCATATGCTGTTTGAAGTGTGTTTATTGTTCCCGATAGGTGTAAAATCGCGATCGCGTTCGATGAGTTTTTTGTTTATATTTATGTCTTCGCACAAAATAGAAACAAAAATAAAGCTGCAGATACGCGCGATTTTTCTTTATAAACTACTCGCTTCTGTGTGTATACACGTGCGTCTATACGGATTATCGTATTAAAACCGATAAAAGAAAAGAAAAAATTTTCGACCCTTTTGCAAAGAAAAATTATTAAAAAAATTGTATATATTATGAAAAACCAACAAGACAAAAATTATTGTGGGAAAAATTATTTAAATTTTTGATAGTCGACTATAGTCAGTATACGAGCTAGAGAATACTTGGCAGCCGTCGACTATGGTCGTTCCGTTTGTTTTTTTTTTTAAAAGTTTTGCCGCGAAAAGACCAGACGATAGAGACGATAGAGCTCATGAAATCAATTCGATTTTGCACAAGTGAGTTCTCATTGGTTTCTTGTTTTAATTTATTTTGGGATATATTTTACGTGTGAAAAAATATATCGAAGAAGATAATACGCGCGATGTAATGTGATTACAAAAATCATATGTTGCGTTTATATGGTGTTGTAAAGTTTTTTTTCGCGGCCGCGCGTCAATATCGCGTTTGGAAAAATGGAATTCCCCCCATTTTTCGCTGTCTCGAAGTATCGCGGTGACATTATGTGTATAAATTTCACTCGACTTCTCGGTTCCAACTTTCTCGTCTTTTAACAGCCTACGAAGAGCTTCCGGGTTGTCGATTGAATATCGCGAATCACGATATTTTTGAAAACGACATTAGTTTTCGTGACTTATTGTGATTCGGCTTTTTCGGATATGCAAAAAATAAAATTGCGTATACCGATGGCGTGCTCTCAATTATTCAACCGAGATTACACGTTTTGCATGATTTACTTTGTACTTGCAGTCAGGGCAAGGGTAGATTCGGCGTCACCAGGAGCTTCATCGCGACTCGAAGCGGACTCTTGCGATGGCATGAGCATCAGCAGAACGACGACCGTGAGAACACCGACGAACCGTGAGCTTCTTTTTAACACGATAAAAAACAAAACAAAACAAAAAAAAAAAAGATTATCGGGATAATTTGTAGCTAAAAAGAACCGCATAGATGAAAAATAGAGTATCGTCAGTTGTGTTTTGCCGTCAACGCTTGGAAAACGGGCGATTGTGATACGCACGCATTTGTGACATACGAAACAAAAATTGATTACAACACGTATCGGCATTCTAACGATTTGCACACAGGCGGTTCGCGGAAGAGCACGCGAGAGCAATGGATTCGTCGTGGTACAAACGCGCGGTGGATCAACACTCGATCGAACCGGAAAGTTTTGTCTTCAGCGTGCCGTTTGACGCAGGTGAATAAAAAAATAATATACAAATGTCTTTTGTCTTATTAATCGCACAGTATAAATTTAAGATCGTTGCGAAAACAAAAAAAAGAAATCGTCATTTAAATCTGTAATCTGTATTATTCGCTCTTGAATCTTCAGCCGAAACAGCAGATCCACTCGTCACCGCTACTCACGCGATATACATTGCGAAAGGTCACAAAGCTCCGGCGGCAGTGGTGGGTTTGCAAATTCAACACTCGTCTCTGGCGACTCATTTCGTCAATATTACTTCTACAGTGAGTCGAATAATTTGTTTGTTTGTTTGTTTTTTTCATTCCTCATGTGTTTAATTATCGCATGGAATATTTTGTGTCAAAATTATGTTATCGTGGTTTGTTTGTTTGTTTGTTTTTTTCATTCCTCATGTGTTTAATTATCGCATGGAATATTTTGTGTCAAAATTATGTTATCGTGGTTTGTTTGTTTGTTTGTTTTTTTTTAGTGCACCGGCTGCAAAAAGAATTGTGCCTCGGAGGAGCTCGATTGTTACATTCTAGACAATAACGGATTCATTATAATAAGCGAACGTCACGAGCACACCGGAAAGTTCTTCGGCGAGATAGACGGGACTATAATGGATTCTTTGGTACAAGATAGAATATACAGGTAGTAAGAATATAACGCGCGCTTTATTATCGAACGAAACTAAATGAGCGTTGCTGTGCAAGTTTCAATCTCGTTTCTAGAGATGAGAAAAACTAGGATATGAGATATGTTTTCGCGCGTTTTTTTGTTTCAGAAAAGTAACGGTCATCGATTATCAGGGAATTTGCAGTCCCCAGGAATCTCATCAGTCGTCGGCGCCGCGAGTTCTGTCCAACTCTTTTATCAAGACGGCGACGACGTTCGGCAACTTCCTTTGGACCCTGGCCTTGACTCTCAATATTCAAGATTTGTGGAAAACCACTCTGGCACTCGCCAACAACGTAATGTCGTCGAATGGTAAAGTGTCTAACACGCGTGCGAATGATTGTAAGGTTGAGTCTTCGATAAAAAAAAAAAAAAAAAAAATATGCATTTACGATTTTCCAGATTACGATGACGAAGTGCTAACACCCGCGGATTCGACCGAAGAAGTAACGGTGGACGAGAACAACGAGTATCTGAAATATCCGGCATTTCCTCCGATCGCGCCGGCGACGCCGGTCTCGCCGCCGACCACTCGGGCCACCTCCGCTCATTATCCTCGAAGATTGCGCACCTGCGAGAAAAAAACGGACCTGTATATCCTGCAACCCGAACGGCTCAATACCAGCGGTCAGAACAATCCTCTGAAAGGGAAACTCACCAACTGTCACGTAACTGGATGCGAGAGGTAATTCGCAGCGATGACGAACTTTTATATATCGCATGTATGTAATATTGCATTATCAAGAAGAACAAATAACAGATAAAGGATGGGGAGGAAAAATATTGTCAATTGAATGAAATATAAAATATTACTTTGCGAAAATGTGCAGAGTGGCCCAGCGATCGCGGTGGCACAGCCGAAAAGGAGTTGATTTCTTTTGAAAAAAAAGTAAATCGAAATAGTCGAACAAAAGTTCTTCGCGCGAGAGAAACGTATAGTTTTTCAAGAAAATCGATTTTGAAATTAAAAAAAAATTGATATTTGTTTTTTTTCGTTGTATGAATGGAAAACGATCGGTATTTCCTTTTGTTTCTTGTCTCGAAACAGGCCATTCAGCGTCCAAAAGATTCGGCACACCAATCTGATACTGCTAGTGGTCGACACGCTGTGTCCATGCGGCAGCAAACAATTGAGTATCGAGCCAATCGAGGCTCTGACGGAACCCGGTGCGTGCACAGCGAGACGGGAGCGTTTGTATCGACGAAGACCACCGAAATGTATAAACTACCACCCCGAGGAGATGGAGATCAAATACTGCGGCGGCGCCGGCCGGTTCTTCAGTTTCACGTCGTTGAGTTTCACGATTCTCTCATTCGTCGTTACAGTGCGATTTGCGTGACTCTCTGTCGAGATTAATTAAAACGAAAAAAAAAACAAAAAACAAAAAAAAAAAAGAATATACAACACACACACGTTTACGAATTACCTTTTTAAAATGAATTTAGCGTTGTCGTTTCTATGAAACAATTATTAAAGAGAAGAGGGGGGGATATAAAAGAGGAGAAAAAGAAAATATACTAGAGATTTGCGGGTCATCACTTAAACTCCGATGAAAGTGATGAAGAAATAAATAAACAAATAAATATATATATACATATACATACATATATATATATATACATATCTATGTTACACATCAATAATCCGATTATAAAAATTCTGTTGACTGACGAGAAAGTCTCGAATATTTATGTGCGTGTATTCTCGTTGCGCGCATATATCGAAATTGATTCATATCAATAATAACTCGGATATCGGACTATAAGCAATAAGTGCCCCATAATACAATAATATACGACGATTGTGAGAGAAAAAGAAACGAGAGATTAGAAATTTGCTTTTTGTTTGTTAGACACACACACACACACACGTTTTTAGACGTTCGCATTATTTCAATGACAATCTCGCGAACAATCAGTAATTCCTGAGTTATATACACACACACACACACACACACACACAAATACGAGACCGGATTTATTTCGGCGATGCGAGATTTTCGTTCTAAGAGAAGAAGTTTCTCTCGTTGTGAGTTTTTCTTCTAATGCTCCGAGCGTCCAAGCACACATAGTGTAAAAGAGGAACGATTCTTTTTATCAGGCTTCTAAATTTGTTTTTTGCTCGCTCTTCACACACACACACACACATACACTTCATTAGTGACCGCAAGAGAGTGACAGATATTATTCACGGCCTAAATGACGATCGAACCCGAAGTGTGTCCGCTCGGGCCTAAAAAACTTCGAATCACGCTCCTCACTTTGAAGGAGCAAACACCGGAGATAACAAAACTTTCGGCGAGAAAAAATTTGGAAGCGTGACAAAACTGACAACGTATATATTTATATAGATGTGATGTTTTCGTTCCAGCCATTTATCCACATCACATTTGTGACGCTTTTAATGTTAAACAAACAAGCCGATATTGTCAAACTGTAATCGCTCTTCCGTTGAAATCCCGATAAGATTTCCTCTTTGCGAGCGACGCTCTCGCAAGAAGCGATACGTGCGTATTTTCCATCAAAATTAAAAAAAAAAAAACACTCCTTTAATGTAAAAAAAAAAAAAAACTACAAAACGCAGAGAACTCCAAATAGAAAAAAAAAAAAAACTGCGCATTTAATGCAACAGTTGAAGTTTTCTGAATATGTAAGAACGTCATGATCTCTTCGTAATTTCAATGTTATGTGGAGTACAAACAAACAAAAAACTTACTACACGTGTCATCGTTTCGCAATTCAGAGATTGTCGTCTTTCTCATAGACAAAATTCACTTGAAAAAAAAAAAGTCTTCCCCTTTCTCCCAAACCCCAATCGTAAGATCCTGTTGTATTCGAATTAAATGTTTTTATCGTCCTTAGAGATATGCGTAGGCTGATGTACTAAAAAAAAAAAAAACTTGTGTCGTTTTAAAACTAGGTCGATATTGAATATAGTGCTAGACTGTGTCAAAAAAAACAAAAAAAAAAAAAAACGTCAAGAATAATCAAAATAGCAGAGCAATAAATAAAGAAATTGAGTTTAATTGCGATGATGAACGGACGGTCACCACGAGCTCGCGCGAAAGTCGACAGCTGCTTTCGTTTCGCCAACAGTCGTTTTTTCGAGAATCATCTTGAGAATCATCAATTGTTTGTTAACGTAACATGTGCAAAACAAAATTGCCGCGTCTATGTTCTCGCTCTATGTTGTATAGTTTTTTTTTTTTTTTTTTTTTTTTAAATTCTAATTACATTACCGAGACTTGTAATTTTCAAGTCAGTCTTCGATCTGACTTCGATCTCTCGATGACAGTTATTTGTCCTGTCGATCGTGTAAAAGGCCATTTTTCGAAGCAGCGGATTTTTCGAGCGAGAATCGTGGATTGTCGATGAGTTTCCGTGAGACGGTCGATTTCACGTGTTTACACGAGATGAGATCGCGCACTTGTTGTCCGAAACATAAAATCAAATCTCCCGAGACGATAATTACACACGTTCCGAAATGACTCGCGCATTCTAGAGAGAGAAAAAAAAGAGAGAGAGAGAGAGAGAGAGAGAGAGAAAAAGAAAGAAGGATAAGCGCGACGATGAGCGCTGAGAATCGACGCTGAACTGTGTGAGGAAATTTTTCCATCCGTGTCACAAACGCACATATAAATATGAAAAACTTACGTTGCTCCCCGAAGAAAAAATGAATACTGTACGATAAAAAAAAATATATATATATAATCTTTGACTACGTCTGTTTTGCGTGTAAAGTAATAAGGCGCGTGAGACTCGATTTAGCTTTATTTTTACGACCTAAATAATAATGTTAAGAGAGCAACGCTAAAATACTCGTTTGCTTCCTCTGAAGACACACACGTGTGAAAAAAAAAAAAACAAACAAACAAACAAACAAAATGCGAAAGAAACCTTGCTATCTTGTGCAAAAAGTTGTTTTGAACGTGCATCGGAAAGATCGCATGGGGGAGGCGAAATACGCGATTGATTGATCGAAAGCAGACTTCTGTGAGAGGGGAAAAAAGAAACAAGAAAAAAAGCGCGACGCTTGGAGCAACGAAGTAATTGATAAGGAAGTATACAAAAAAATACAAAGAAACAAAACCACAAGTCGTAATGATGTCTACCGTTTTTTTCTAATCAACGTAAAATGACGAGTGAGTTGATATATATATATATTATATAAAAAAACAAACAAACAAACAAAAACACTTCCGATTAGGGGAAATAAAACACACGCGCAAAGAGAAACTAAGTAGCTCAATATATACGTACACTCGTATTATTAATAATTATTAATTATATATATCCGTAACGATAGAGAAACGCGCAGAAAAGAAAAACGAGCAGAACAAAAAAAAACTATATTGCATTTTATTCCGATTGACGTCGTTTATTAACGCTCTCGTATTTAGCGCGCGCGCTAAATTTTGTAAATTTGACATTCGGTCTCTGCGAGTGTCGCACACAAAATAAATTGCGAAAAATTGCGAAGCGCGGTGTGCAGACTTGGATGTAACAACAAGCGACAATGAATTTGACAACATCACCGCTAATGTTTGGCACGTGACACAAAAATCATACCTAAAATACCGTGCGCTCTCATTGTAGCTGACGATGATGATGATTGCGCTAATGATATCTTTGTTTTTTTTTTTTTTTTTTTTTTTTTTTTGTTTAGATGCAAATACAAATTATAAGAGAACACACAGCGCTCAGGATATTTATATGTCGGTCAAACCGAGCCTAAACGCAATTTCTTAATCAAAGATGTTGGTCCAAGTGAGCTTAAGAATTAGTTCTAGGAAAACTTGAGAATCGAATAAACAAAAACAAAAACAAAAAAAAACACCTGATTCGGAGTACAGAGTAATTCGCAATTGTCGTATGGAACATTGTTAAAAAAAAAAGTATATTCTTCAAATGATATAATTACTTTGAGTTTTTTTCTCGTGGAAAAATGTAAATATACTGTTGTGCAATCAATTCTCGATAAATATATTCGTTTTAGAAGAGTTCTCACTTCGGAACCGAGCTTTTTTTTTATCTTTTCGCGCATGTTCGCACGCGTAACATACACACACACACACATACACACACGCGCGCACACATGCTGAAATTGTGAATTAATCTGTAATTTTTACGCATTGCCTTGAACGTGACGGAGCCATTGTCATATGCTTACGAGTGTAGTTGCAACGACGGCTCGATGCTTCTCTGCGAATCTTTTGAAACGTTTGTTTTGCTTTTTGTTGTGAAAAATTAACGAAAATCGCACGTAGTTTCTAATTTCAATCAGGTTTATACTTGAGATGGAAAAAAGCCTATTTATGTATTTACATGAAATTTGATTGCGATATTTTCTAGGTTTTATCGGTTATTTATTGAAATAACAATTATATAATATTTATTTTGTATTATATAATACATATTGATTAATATATATATCATTATATATATATTATATATTTTAATGATTATATATTCTATAAAATATTTTCTCGCACACTCGTGAAAAAAAAAAAAAATGTTAAACGGTGTGAAAAACGTCGCGATGAAAAAATTACGTAAATTCTTTTACTAATAATAGGAGAACGTAGTTAATACAGCGCCGAGAAGGAAAAAGGACTATAAAAAAAAAAAAAAAAAAAAAAAGAAACGAAGTATCGGTCTAATAGTTATAATACGTCGTCACGAGAAAGAAATTGTTTTAGAGCGATTGAAATTCGCGACGTTAACGCGCGAATTTTGAGAGAAATCCGAAAATGGAATTGGAGAAAGTACGTTTGTTGAGAGCTTAAGTAATCGGTGTGATTCGTTTGACTTTAACTAGAAAATATTGTGTTACGTTAACGTTACTAATACGTATGTACGTGTTGTACGTATTTCTCTCGTGGCAACGCGTCGCAGAGCGTCGTAAAATTTGGCTCGCGCTTAGCGGCACAAATTTTACAACATTGGTTGCAAGATCGTTAAAGAAATGAGATTTAAACGTCTGTGAGACAAATCCGAGATTGCTGCGCAACACGTTGCGGCGGTTCTGGTTAAACGGCAAAGTCGCCTCTGATGCAGCTCGCGATATAGTATATTGGACGTTATAATAATAAAAAAGAAAAAAAAAACGGGACATTCTTCGAGAGAACTCGGTCGTATGTCGCGTTGCGAACCGTCTAAGAAATAAGAAACGATTAAAAAACTAACAAGATTTCATATAGATACTAAAAACGCAATTTATTTGTACGTTAATTTAACAATATACAGAGAGAATTATTTTTATTAATTTTCTAACTCTTTATATACATAGGCGCGAAGTATGTGCGTGAGTGAGAGAGAAAACGAGAGAGAGAGAGAGGGAGAGAGAGAGAGAGAGAGATTGATATTGTCCTTTTTTTGAAATTTTATATTTTGATATGCTTGATATATAAATAAACACATTCTGTCGAAGAATGTCCACATGATAACGAGAGTAAGAGAGAGAGAGAGAGAGAGAGAGAGAGAGAGAGAGAGAGAGAAAGAGTATTTAAGTGAGACACCTAGTGTATCACGTGAATGAAGAAGAAACATGCGTAATCTGAACGCGCGCAAGAAGATAATAATAAACCGTTAACTTGAAGTAACAAAAAAAAAGGAAAAAAAAATCTATAAACGTGTTAGGTAAAAAAAAAAAAAAAATCTTTCGACCAGCACTTTTAGGTGCTGCCATGTCTTCCATTATTTATATATTAATTAATAATAAAAATCGACTCTATAACGTATTATAACACATCACACACACGCCCAACACACGCGCGAGGACACACTCGCACACACAGACACGTACACAAACAAAAAAATAATTGCAAACTTATCTAATATTGTCTATGAATAAGAAATACGATGTAATATTACATAACAAAAAAAAAAAAAAAGAAAAAGCGAACGCAAGAGAGGAAGTTGGTATTTTTCACAGGATTTTTAAGACAAGACTTGCGTGTTTTATCGTTTTTCGCATATAAGTTCCGCAAAATGAAAAGTATGTCCTTCGCTATATATTTTCCGGGCGTACGTTGCTTGAAAGAGTTGCAGTCTGCGAACGAAGTGCGTAAAAAATTTGAGCAAGCGAAACTTCGTTCTTATATACACTATTTAAAAAAACGTTTAGAACAAAAATTACGTGCTACTTACATTTGTCGCAACATTTGCGCGTTGTTTTGATAGCTTTCTAAAAACACAAAAAAGAAAAAAAGACAAACTTCATGCAAACCTATTTTTGTGTACAAGAGTGTCACCTTGAAAATTTCGCATCTTCTCTCAAACGCGTACGTAAATGATTGCGAGTAATCAAGTTTAGTAACAAATGAGTCACACAGTTCGAGACTACAGTTCCGATTGATTCAGCGAAATCGATCGGTCGATTGGTCGAATTGACCGATCCCAATTGAAATTTGTCGGTTGTAAGTTCCAACAGAGAAAAATGTGTTTTTCGCAATCTTTTAAATATTACTGGATCACATCAGAGACGGAAGATCGGATCGTTGAATGTTTTTCTGCCATTAGTCGATAAAAAAAACATACTTTCCAAAAGATTTTTCTTATCGAACAATATTGGCGTTTCAGACGAGAGACGGTGCGACGAGTTCGAGGAGCACGATGTACCACACCCGTATGTCATTTAGGCGTGTGTACAGAGAAAATAGCAATCATCCACCGCGAATAGTTTGCATCGATTTTGTGTTTCCGTTCCATCTCACGAGAGTGAACAAAAAAAAAAAAAAAATCCTAATATTTGCACATAGTAAAGCGACGAAATAGTCGAGAAAATTTATCATCACACCGCGGAGGATAGATAAAATTTCAACAAAGTGAAGAATGATGTATGAATTTTTTGTAAAATTAATCAAATTAATTTTTTCTCTCTTCCATCTTATAATTTTTTCATCCATTGGAAATATCTTGAAACGATTACATTAGTGGTTACGCAGGAGAGACGATCTATTCAAATAAACAACAGCATCGTGCAATACTTTACTAGCACATTCTTCGTGGCTCGGTTATAAAGCGGAAAATCGTAACGTGAAAGTGTCGAAGTGCGCGTCAGAGTTTTCGGATTGAAAGAGAGAAATAATAATAATAATAATAAAAAAAAACAAAACAAAACTTACACGATACGGTCGATCCCGATCGTTGTTTGTAATTTCGAACGTGCGTGTTCGACATTTTCGCGTTGCGAATTTTTTTGAATTCTAATTGAACCTGTGGAAATGCCCTATGAAAATATTGTACGGTAATCGTCGTACACGGTAGTAGAACGAGTACATTATCCTGTATAGATTGGAGCGAAACTGTGAAATAATTTCGAATTATGAAATTGTGGAACAAAAAAAAAAGAAAAAAAAACAACGCGTGTGCGGGATACGCGCGGGATTTAAAATTGCGCGCGCGCGATCCCGAGCGTATATTATAGTTATTTATCCTCTCCCTCGCCCAACTTATCTTCATTTTGTACAATATTAAATATATTTAGGTGAGAAAAAGCGCGTGCGATAAGATTATCTATTACAAAGTAATTCGTGTTATGGTTGGCGGTCAAAGTGAAAACAAACACTCCGCAATACGTATTATATATGATCGTATAATGTACGTTAACACAAACACACACATCATAACGCGCTTTAACAGTCTGAAATGGAAAAAAAAAAAAAAAAAAAAAAAAAGAAAAATTTGTCAAATAAAACCTTTTACTTGATGTATTTATCGAACGTAAATACAATTATGTCTATAATATATTGCAATAAAAAGAACTAAAACCATTTACAAAGTCAGTTTGTTTTTTTTTTTGCGAGAAAACAAGTTGTGGAAGAAGTGAAGACAGAGAAAATTGTTTCAGGAGACGAAGTTCAGTAACTGAACTCGCGAGAGAGTGTTCGAAAAATTCGAATTTTATTTTCTCTTTCAGTGACACAATTTTATTTATAAGATATTCGCGCACATATGTACATTGCATTTTGTATGTACAAGAAGTTTTTATCGCAGATTTAAAAATCCAAGACTAGACAATCTGTTCTAAAGTGCCATCTTTTAATATCTTATATTTAAATACCAAATCTGATCGTTTGTCGCTCCAAGCTTTTGTTTCCGATCCGCTGAATATGAATTCCGCGTCAACAGCAGCTTCACGGATTTTGGCTAAGTCGTCTTCGTTTTCTGAAATTTCGTAGTGTTTCTTGTGTTTTTTGGGTCTTGGTATCTGTTCCACAGGTATTTCAGTGACCTCTTTAGCAGTTAGAAGAGTTTTTGATGTACTTAAAAGCTTTATTCCAGACTGTTTTCTCTTCACCTTCTGTTCTACGTCACGTAATTTGGTAAATTTTTTATTTTTTAACTTGATGGTTCTACATAAGACAGTGGCATCAGTATTCACAGAAGAACAGACAGTTGCAGAATGTATTTTAAAAATTAAAATAATATTCACACTTCAATATACTTACCGTTCCAACATCTCATCTAGTTTTTGAGCAACAAAAGCTTGAAATTCACTTGTAACACCAAAATTTGTAAACTGATTTTCCTGGTTGGAGCTTAATCTCAAAGATCGCTTTTTTAATTTGCTTGACTCTAAATTTTCAATTAATAATAGATATATAATTAATCTTCATCAAATTAATTACATCTGTATGATTATATATATGTATATATTGAACAAAGAATTATTTCGTACACTTGTCATGCATTTTGTGAGATTGAAAAATTAATGAAAAAAAAAAAAACTTTGTGTTGCTTACTCACCACTTTGGGGAACGATTTTATTTTTTTCCGTACTATAAAGATTGTCATTTAAAAAGTCCTGATCGATTATTTCTCTCAAAACACTTGTAGGAATTTCATCTTCCGAACTTGAATCCGTGTGATTGTTGATCTTTCCCATTTTCAACCGTATTATACTTATTTTGACAACTCGACTTTTTAATAGTCTCCAAATATCCGTCCATACGTCAGTTTTTCTCAAATTTTTTGATAAATACACAGAATAACAAATTTTTAACTTCAATAATATGAAACATAACCTAACTACCGCGCGTCAACAATAAATTCATGATCACAAACTGGTAGTTTAACTGTTTTCGGCAGAGTCAAAATGCGGCCGCGAACATATGTTGTTTTCTTATTGATGCGTCAATTTGTACAGAGTTGAAATTCGATTTACATATCTCACGAACCGATATACAAAAAGATTCGATTTCTTGAATCGCGAATAACGTTTCTAGGTTAGGTTAGGTTAGATTAAGATTGACAGCACACGTTTTCATAGCACAGCTGATGAAAACCTATCAAACGTATCATTACTATTTTTTCTCCTGATAAATATAATTTTGTTTATTTGTTTCAAAAGTTAAATGATTTACAATTAAGTAACAACAATGGACGAAGTGTATTCGTTTTACAATCGTCACGCATCGAAAAAGCTCAATATGACCGAATACTTCAAGGAATACAGTGAAATAGTAAAACCAATTGTACATCGAGAAGACCAGTCGGACGAAGAAAGACTTTCCGAACTTATGAATGCAAATCTGACAGAGGCGAGGAAAAGTTTGATAGCAAGTTACTGCAGGTAACAATAAAAAAAATTTATACATATATATGTGCGTGTATGTTCACATGTTGTACACATGTGTGTATTAAAATTTAAAATTATTTTTGTAGCATCGACAATTTAACAATATCAATAGAAACCACCATTACAGAAGAAAAAGATAAACATGAATATCTCAAGATGCCTGAGAATATCTTGGATAAAGTTCCGCTAGAAACAATTAAGATATTAAAATCTTTAATTGACTCAGCGACAAAATCAGGAAATTTACATGGAATTCCAATTGTTAGTAAATATATATATATTTTTTTTTTCAAAAAAATATTGATTGATGACGAGGTGATAATATGAAAGTTATATAATATCTGTGTCTTATCGAAACGTTAGCGTAATCAAAAATCACTTTTCTCTATGCCCTTGAACCTTTGTTCTTTGCCAGCACTGTAACACAGGATCCTCTCTTTTGGTTTTTTTAGAAATATGACAAAGTAGAATCATCCAGTAATGATTCTGTGAAACCATACGAAGAATTTTTAGTTTACGTTAGAGTATACGAACCGTTCAATCACCAGGCTGTGTCTCTGAGGCACAAGATGAAAGTTACTGTTTTCCCGACTCTTAAACTTAAATGCACCATATCAATTCTAGGTTGTCAAACCCTTTATGATTTACGTCAAAAGATATCATGTCTGTCTGATCTGACGATTTCGACTGAGGTCAGCGAAAACCCAGATCAAGAGGAAGGATCATTGGCTAAAGTAAATCTGTTCTTCTTATCTTAAATAGATAACTCTATATGTGCTATTTTATGTTGTTTTCGCTATTTGCTGTAGAAACAATTTCATACGTGATTTTGTTTTTTTTTTAATTATTACAGAACGTTTACAAATCGGGATTCTTTTACATCGAAGATACGTTTTACAATGACTCTAGTGACCCGAACAATGTCGATTACAGCAGCGTTATAATAGAATGGTCAAAACACAAAAATCGCAATATAGGCCCGTTTAAAGTCGCTACCATGGACACGCGTATAAACACTCTTGTTGCTAGATTCGGTTTTCCATGGGTCTATCAGCATCAGGGCAATTGCGAGCATGTGATCGTATTGAGCGATGCCAGGTATGTGAATTTGCACATACGTACGTATGGATTGGAAAAAAATTGTGTTTGCTCACATCTTGTGGTTTTTTTTTTTTTTTTGTCAAGATTGGTGACTGAAAAGGACGAATTAACATATTCCGCTTATCCAAGGGTGGAGAGAATAAAACCTTTTATTGGAAAAAATTGCATCATGTGCGGAATACTTAATGTGCATTGGATTATTACGGAACACGACAGAATTCCGCACGATCTGAGCTACTGGTGCGACAAGTGTTTTGTATCTTACAATTACATTGACGGCAAAAAAATTGGAAATTTCAAGGCGTACAAATATCCTCGTATTCCGAAACTAATGTATATTAACAAAAAATGTTAATAACCACCTTTTATAGTTGTTATATTTAATAAATTACTTTAATATATTAAAAAATTTATATAAAATAAAACCATACAATACTCCACGTTAAACATTTGTGTGAAAAATCCATTTTATTGACTACTTTTGTCGAGTTTTTTTTGTGTACAGTCTCCGTAAATTGTCTCTTGCGCTGTTCAAGTCCGGCTTCAATTGCAGCGCGGTCTTGTACATTTGTTCCGCCGCGCTTAGTTTATTCCAACGATGATACAAAACACCTGAAATGAGAAGTATTTCGTCTTCTCTCGATAATTTTGTATATACATAATCTTGAATTGCTTGTAAAATGAATTCGTGAAATACCTAAATTTGCGTAAATTATAGGATCGGTAGGATTTTTCGATATCGCCAACTTATACTGCGCTTCGGCTTGCTCGTACTTTCCCTTTTTTCCCAAGATATTAGCTACGTTGAAATAGACGGAAGCATGATCCGGAATAAATTTTACAGCTTCGCTCGCCACGTTCAGCGCCTCTTCTGATCTACCTAAAAGCGCGTTTAGTTTACAACATGTGCATATCTCAGCATCTTTCTCAGTAAATAAACTATACTTTAATACTTGTTTGTCACCAACCTAAATCATCTAACAGTAATATCGTGTTCGTCCACGCTTGTTTGTGAGTAGGTTTTTGTTTAGTTGCACTCATCCAAGCTTTCAACGCTTCGTTGTGTTGCTTTCGGTCTAGATACTGTTAAAATTATATTTCAGCATTTACGGATTTGTATATCATGTAAATTCTATGCGAGGTAAACATGTTTTACTCACATAAACGCCCAAATTGTAGTAACAATCTGGATAATTTGATCGGTATTGCAGAGCTTTAAAATAGCTTGCTTCTGATTCTTTGTCTTGCTTTAGTGCCGACTGAACTATTCCTAAATTCATCCACGCTGCTGCAAAATCTTCCCTAATAAAGTTATTTAAGAAGTTTTAATTAATAGATAAAAAAGACATTATACTTAAATACACACTTTTTGTTCGTATTTTATTTATATACTTTAGTGCATGACATATAAAAAGTGACTGAACTCACTGCAAACTAACAGCTTTTTTAAACAAACTTGCGGCTTTCAAAAGCTGCCCGTCACTTTTCAGTAAGTTGCCGAGATTGTTCATTGCTTGAGCATAATTTGGATTTAGTCTACGACATATGAAAGATATAAAAACTGTACAAAATGTAATAAATGATAATAATGACAATGTGAATATTGAAAAAAAAAAAAAATATATTTTATATACACCTTAAGGCTTCTTGATATTCCATTTTAGCGAGGCTAATGTTTCCCGCGTCCGCAGCAGTTTTCGCGATATTATAATGTACTTTTGCATTCAAGGGACATACGTTCAATGCCGATTGGAAAAGTAGTTTTTCATTTCTCCACTCGCTGCTCCTCATCCAGGAACGTGCGAAGAAAAGTACAATAAGAGTCGTGTATGCCAATAACGATGCCTTGGGTAAAGAAAATCGAGCGGAGAGTTTTTGCAAGCCGATAGCAACTAACAGACAATATCCCGCCGAAGGCAGATATAACGTTCGCTCTGCCAGAACAAATCCAACATTGAAGAAGATATTGCTCGCTGGTAGAAATGGAAAAATTAACAGCGCAAGTCCCATAATTGTGTATCTGTAACAATTAATGATATATAATAATATGTGCATATATATTTAGATATGTTTGAGAAGTTTCACACATTTCGCGAAATTACCTTGAAGTATCGTCCTTTCGAGAAGTAAATGTGTGCGCGATTAACGTTCCGATCGTTAACCAGAAAATAATGATTACAAAAATTCTATAGTCATAATCAGTAATTAAAGGTACGCAACCCATTGACCAATCGAAACAGAGCCAAACAGGACATATGAGCAACCACGTATTCAAACAATAGATGTAACTATAATTGAGTATACGAAAAAACATATTATCCACAAAAGATGCTGGATTATCCACCGGTTGGAATTTGGGGACGGAAAATCCCATAATAGTAAATCTCAGTAATAAGAGTATTATCGCGATCAAGAAAAGAACACTAAGTCGCAAGAGCAAGTTTTTGTGTTTAAAAAAATTGTTCGAATGTTTATTCGAATCTTTGAGTAGAATAAAATTAATGATATCAACTGGATATATTTTGTTCACTATAACTATGTCGTAAATTGCACAAATAGCCTGAAAATAATAAAAACAAATGGCTCTTTAAATCCAATATGAAAAATTATTTATGACTGTAAACTCTTTTATACTCACAACGGCAGTGATTCCAGTTTCCTTACATAGCATTGCTGTAATTACGCAAATAGCAAAACCGGACATGGATATGTACCACGAATGTTTTGTACATGTCGCATAGTTATATAACAAAATTGACAACCATGTGAATAATGTGCACAATAATTCAGCACGTCCTACAATTCCAGATACCTAATGTACAGAAACACAAACCACAACATTGCAGCACATACATACAAACAAAGTATAAAATATATATGTACATTCAAATTACAGCTTCTGTATGAATTGGATGAACTGCAAATAAAGCTGCAGCGTAAAACGAGATATTCCATTTGTCCGATCCCATCAGTATGTTATATACAAAAAAAGTTAACAAACAGACCACACTGTGTAATATTATATTTATCAAGTGATAGTCTTGTGAAATCAAGTCTTGCCTTAACCAGAAATTTAATCTGAAAGAATCAAAATGAGAGGAGGAAATGAGTTACATATTAAATATCTTTTAGGACAAAAAATAAAGATTTTCTAAACCTACACACAATAAGGTTACGCTCAATATAACTGTGTAATAGTATCTTATTCCTATTTTACCTAAAACTCAGAATGGTAAAAGGTCTGTATGACTTATGGCTTCGCTTATGGGACAATTTGGTGCCCCAAAAGTCATTTCTAAATATTTGCCACAGCGGTGTGGCACGTACATCGTCATTATTGACAATCGCCTCGGTATCGTCAAAAACAAAATCTCCGTCATAACTGTTAACAAAACAAAGTGACAAAATCACGATTATCCAACAAGAAAGCGGCGGCGATAGAGCTGAAAAAAATGTGTTAAAGATTTGTCAAAATATGTTTTATACAAAGATATATTTACGTATATAGTTTGCACGTATATAAATAAATAATAATAATTGTATATATATAAACTATAAACACCGCATACTTGGTGAATGAGATGTTATTTTGTTTTTCATTGTGTACTCGATGCGCACACACATAAAGTTACATCATTTTTCATTTCTTTTGTTTACAGACAACTGCCGGGTAAAAACAGCTGTTTGAAACCATGTTTGAAACGTCTTTGACTAAAGAGAAACAGCTCAAAGCGACTTTAAACAGGCATTTAACATTTCTACTCGGTCTCGAGCGCCGCCGTGTCCACATATTTGTCAAACGTCAAGCTTACATTCGGGAAAATACTGGTCTGATTGGTTGATTTGTTTACATCTTATCGCTTAAGGACGTTCTACATTAGTCGCGAGCGCAAACACAAGTAGCAGATCTCGCGGAAGTGACCAATCACTGGTGGTTGATTGGCTGATTGTCCAATTATTCAATACCACACAAGGTTTTTGCGACTTGCGTTTGCTCCTTGCGACTTGATGTAGAACGACCTTAAGTTTTAAGTCTTTAAAGAATCCGCAGTACATAATTAAAAAGCGATTGGCCTCTCCTTCTAAATTTATTATAAATATAAAAATATACGCCAATGACATGCAATAATCGCGATCGGTTCTGTTCGGTATCGTGTGTGCGTTGACGCAGCCTTTCCTACAGCCGTTAGTCTAATTTATATATACACGCGCATGTATAAATAATGTATTTCAATATTTTTAGATCGTAGTCAACGAGATTTTCTATTCAACGTTGTTTAGGATTTAATTGCCACTAAAGTCGAGTTTTCTATTCGATAAACAAAAACATGCGTACAGTATATCAATGATGACTTAGCGTTTTTTTTGAATGTCAAACCTAATAGATTTTATAATTTCTTAAATGAAGTGAATCACATTATACGCTAATAGAAATACAGAGTTTCTCTTGACCTAAAATTGTCACTGAGTGAGGTTTAAACAGTTACACTCTTGTTAAAAAAAAAAAAAAAAAAAACTAACGCAACGTTAGTTATCACTTGTGCGTGTGCAAAGTGATAATTGATTAAGTCGTATTTTGTTCCAAGATATTAAGTTTGACAAATACACTTGGGCAAGTATGACTGACAACACCCATAAAGTGAAAAACGAAGAAGACGATAAAGAATTGAACGCTTTGTTGGACAGTAAGTAAAACATTTCATGGTTATATAATATAATTACCGAGATAATTCTTAAGATAAGATGTGACATTTTTTACACTCTTATCGATAAGATGTGACATTTTTTTACACATTTTTACATCGCGTTTATTATAGAAATCGATTGGAAATCGTGAAATTCGGAAATGTCGTAATACGTCTCTAAATTGTTTTAGGCGCTTTACAAGATTTTGACAAAGTGTCATTGAATGCCGAATCTAAGAACACCGAAAGCACTTCGGACTTACAAAAGCAATCGGATAAACACGAAACAGATAAACATGAAACAACGGAAACGCCTGAAGATAACTGGACGGAAGATTTCCTTAAACAAACAGCTAGTCAATTTGAAAAAGATTTTGAGACCTTGTTACAAAATGGTGAGCTAATAAAAAGTCTGAGAGGAATTTACATGTATTACTGCAAGATTTTATAAATTGTTAGGCGATAGTGAACTAGAAGCTGCTTTGAATAAGATCAGACAATTGTCAATCAGCGATGCAACAGACGAAACAGGCACAACAAGTAACACAGACTTTCAATCGACCATTTCACAAGTTTTAAAGGACCTGACTGCAAATTCTGAAAATTTAAAGGTATTCCAATATAATCCAACAATAATAATAATTTTAGTCAATATAATATTAAGAGATAATAACAGTCTGATATGTAAGATTCTGTTTAACTTTGGTGCTATCAAGAGTAATTAAAATTTAGAGCAACATTTTGAGGATAAAATCTATTTTAGAATGATTCAGACTTAGCAGCTATGCTTGGACAAGCATCTCTTGATGGCGGAACTGACTTATTACCGTTTATGCAAGGAATGATGGAACAACTTTTATCAAAAGAGATACTGTATCCGTCATTAAAAGAATTGGCAGATAAATATCCGAAATGGCTTGAAGAACACAAAGCAACTTTGAGTTCTCCCGATTTGGGAAGATATACGAAACAATCGGAGTTGATACAAAAAGTATAATCAATAATATATTTTATAATTTAAATAATAACTATAATAATAATTATAACTTTGTGTTACTATACTTATTTAAATTTTGTACAAGGTATGTGCTGAGCTGGAGAAAGAAACAGAAACCGATACGGATAGTGTAAAGAAACAACGGTTTGAATATATACTGAAACTGATGACGGAAATGCAAAGTTACGGCCAAGCACCAGAAGATCTTGTTGGCGAACAGAATTCTTTCTTTCAGTTCGACTCTGAAGGAAATCCCATTCTTCCATCACTTGGAGAAAATTCCCCGCAAGATTGTCGTATTATGTGAATAAACTTAGCAGCTAGCGTTTTTTTAATCAACTAGTAAATATTACATTTGTTTTTATTAATTTTCACTTTGGAAATAGCGAATTTTATATAACTTTCTGTGATAAAATTTCCTAAATAAATACATGGGAAAAATGCATCGCAAATTCTGCTCACAGTATGTACACATCGAGTATATATCGTTTTACTTCAAAGTTAATTCTACGAATATAATATAAAAAACAAAAAGCTGCACAAATTTTTTTTTTCCCCCCTACTGGATCTTTTTGGTTAAAACATTTTTACAAAAGACAAATCAGTTTTAAATTTACTACAAAATTTGTGACTAGAAACATTTTGTATAAACAACGTTGTTATGTTTTATATAGGTAGTGGTTGTTTTGTCTTACATAAAGATAGTGTTAAACTAATATTCTCTAATAATAAATGTAAATGGAGAATGGAAACACAACATTTTGCAACGTGGAAAAAGTCTTATAAGTTATGAAATATTATAATAAAAACCATATACTTTGATGAATAAAATTTATACTTCGTTTACTTATTCATACTTCTCACAGTTGTGTGTGTGTGTGTGTGTTGTGTGTTATACGTGCGATAGAAAATTATATTTCTACAGATAATATAACCCATAATTATAACAGACTTCGAAAAGTACGACAAATATAACATTGAAGTCACGTGACATTTTGATTTTTCTATATTTCATATAACAAAGTTTTATATTTTCTCGCGCGAAAGAAATTTTTCTTTTATAAATTCCAGTTTTAAAAGAAAACCGATGTTTTTTGTTTTTTTTAGGATCTATATATATTGTAGTGTTAATTTTATAATTAAGGGTTAATAATTACAAATATATTAAAATTATATGCAAAAGTTCTTTATACAATGTGAAAATCGCTCATATTTAACTATTTTGTTCACATTTTATTCTATAACTATTCTTCAAAAACGTTATAATCTAGAATACTAGATTATAAACAAAAATTAGACTAAAAAATTTTTAAGTTTAATGCTATAAAATATTACGTGTTTACCGTGTGTTTTTATGATTTTTTTCTTTCTTTAATTTTGTTTGAACCTATATGTGTTATATATATGTATACATGTATATAAATATTACATAGCATAGTAATATACATATTCATACGACTTTTATCGAAAAAAAAAATCTTAACATTTTATTTTAATACTTCAATTTAAAAACAAACGTGTAAACAGATAAAAGCGACACTATATAAATGGAAATTAAACACGAATACACGTATAAGAACGTTAATCTTGTCAAGGTGTACCGTACGAAGTACTTCTTGGTGATTGCATTTGCAGAGTCTGCTGCTGATTCGACGTAGACTGTGCGGAAGCTATCGTCGTAGGTGCGATGACTCGAGCGTACACAGCACCGCCCGCTGTTTTCAAGCCGGATGGCGTGGGGATCACTTTGAGTCCGTGCAACGCTTTGATATTAAGCAACTGACTCGGCAGAATGATCGGTTGTTGCGTTTGCTGCTGCTGCTGTTGCTGTTGCGGCGTCTGCTGAGAGGTCGGCTGCTTGCCTAACACAACGTTACCACTGCTAGTGCTCACCGCGACACCAACGTTTTTATTTCCACTCGCCAATACGATAGGTTTTCCCGCGAGCTGTGCAGTAACCATTCGAACGGTCTGAGTTTGTTGCGGTTGGGATTGCTGGTGCTGTGTGCTAACTGCTATTATCTTCGACTGACCAGACGACGTTTGCGCTTGTGGTACAACCTGCACAGACACAAGTGTAAATAAAATATCATAGTAGTTTGTTTTTATTCTAATGTACAGGAAACAACAAAAGTTGATTTTTATTTATCTTTTTTTTTTTATTCTTACCTGATACTGAGCCTGTATAACTTGTTTGGCTTGTCGATTAATCTGATTGCTGTGACTAGCGGCAGTAGCTAACTTTAATCCTTTTTGAGCGAGCAAACTTTCGACAGATATAATTTGTCCCCCGCCGCTATTCGTCAAGACTTTCGCTAATATTTTTTGTTGCTGTTGTTGTTGCTGCTGCTGCTGGGGCGATTGTTGTATTTGCACGGCAATTGGCTTGCCTCCGATTTGCGCGATTATGCGCTGCATTCCCGGAGTTTGTTGCACAGATTGCTGTTGAGTAGCTACGACCCGCTGTTGCTGAAGTTGCTGTTGTTGCTGAAGTTGCTGCTATTGAATATTGAAAAAGTAGAATAAAAGCGAATATAAAATACGATATATCATTATTTATTTTTAAGAAATACCTTTAATTGTTGTTGTTGTTGTTGCTGTTGTTGTTGTTGCTGCTGCTGTTGCTGCTGTGTTTGATTGTTGGATGGTGAAGATTGTTTGATAAATATGGTCTGGCCCTGAAGACCGTGACCCGAGAGCAACGATTTAATTTGACTCGGACTAACTAATTTAATCTGAGACGCTGCCAAAAGAGTTTTGCCTGGCAATACGTGTTGCTGTTGCTGTTGTTGTTGCTGCGATTGCTGTTGCTTTAAGTTGGTAGTTTGTAAGATACTCTTTCCCGCTTGATTCGTTATTATGGTCGGTTGTTGGTGCTGATTTTGCACTTTTGTAGACGGCAATATTGTCGTTAGATTCGTGCTTGTTCCGTTTGTCACGTTAGAACCACTATTAACCGGAACAGATTGCTGCGCTGACTGCAATACCGAATGTCCGGACAAACGAATCGTTTGCAAGCCAGCGGATGTGGACACTTGAATTTGATGATGTGAGAAATTATGTTGATTTGATTGGAGAAGACTCTGAGTGGCGTTCGCTTTCACCACGGCGACCGGTTTTCCTCCGATAACGGACGCCTTTTTCATTGTTGTTATCGGCGTGAGTTGGGACTTCGTCTCCACCGTGACATTGTCCCGTTCCGTACTCGCTGAACTCGCGATCGTAGGCGACGAGGTCACGAGTGACGCAACAGGAACAGAAGTTTCGACGACGGAAATTGTTGGCGTTGTTATTGTGCTGACAGCTATGTCCATATTAGTGTTAACGGAATGTTCAGTAGAAATCGAATGTTCGTTTATAACTTTTTCCTCGATCTTGCGCTGTTCTTTTCTGCAAAATTATTATTACATTTGTTTAATAAGAAATATTGTTTTTATATTAAATATCTTTTTTTTTTACGTAATAAATTATTTGCATATTTACTTGGGCATTACGGGTTGAGCAGGTATAGCCATTGTTCGTCTTTCTTTTTTGTGAGTTACCTCTTTATTATTCGGCGATTGTTCTTTGTTTACATTAGCTAATTTAGGAACAGGCTGTAACGCCTTATTCCGAGACGTACCACCAACGCTCTTCTTGTTCTTCGCAATACCTTGCAATTGTTGATGAAACATTTCTACAGACAACAAATGTATTTTCTCGCATTAAGATGTAAATATACGATGAATATAAAAGACATAAAAACAAAAAAAAAAACAAACCAAATTCAGATTCAGACCGCGCTCGATGGAGATAAAGCCATTCCTTCCGACGAGGATAATATCTAACGCAAGGATCTGCCTCGTAATGTAACCTATCAAGCGCTCCCGAGACCACGGAATGTAGATTGTCGTCGTTATTCCCTTGCTCTTTGATATATTGCGAATCCTTCAGTAATTGACAAATGTCAGCCCGAGTTCCCTCACCGTTCGGAAGTCGGGCGGTAGCGTCTCTGACCAATGCTAAGATCGTCACGAAATTTGGACGATCCGCGACCAGTAAATTGTGACCTCGCGCCTTAGACTGTCCTGAAGCTTAACATAACGACAGTTTAATACAATTTTAACTTTTTTCATACAATCTTTTAGAAGAATCTTTTTTTTCTTTTTATATTAAAAAAAGTCTTTTGACTTGTTTTTATATTAGAATTAATTTTCAACATACCGACATTGTGCTGATAAATTCCTTTAACGGGACCGACCACAGATGCGTAACCGTGCATGCGATACGTAAACGCTTTGTGAGGCGCAGCGTAACGCATTCGTTCCTGTCTTCGAAATTCTTCGCGCTCTTCCGTTGTGGACTGACGGACCTTCCACTCCGTAGGAAACAGCGCACGAGGCGGTTCCCATTCGGTTCCGGTAACACCAACGTCTATGGTAGTGGTTTCCGATACGGGACTACCGCCACATTGCGAACTGCCGCTCGCGATCGTGCTATTGTTCGTGTTATTCAAAGAGCTGAGCTGCGTCTGCTGTGACTTAACAGGCGTTACAGCGTTGGTGGTCGAAGAATTTGGCGGAGCCAAGATATCTCTAACAAAAATAAAATTATAAATAAATTATATAGATTTTTTTTCTCTTATTTTATATAAAAGAAGGTAAAGAGAAAAAAAAACTATTAGCGTACTTATACAAAAGAAATTTTGTACACAGATCCTGTAATCGAGCGTCCGAATCTCGTCCCGCCCCGATCCACGCGTACACGCCACGACCTTTGTTTTCCAAATAGGGCACGAGTTCTTGATCTCGTTCCTGGCGTTGATCCAAATCTTGAGAATATGTCAATTCACCAGCAAGAAATCCCAAAGCTAACGGTACCAGTGTGGGCCAAGAAGATACCAAAGAATACCTACGATAACAACATATATATATATATAAAACAATTCTCTCCTTTACTTTTATTACAACAAAAATTTATCAGTCGACGCGCGAAATTACCAATCGTTCAAGGGCGAAATAGGATTGCTCTGCCACTGCATTACTGCCTCTTTCATCTCTATCATGCCCATTCGATATTCTCCCTTGGAAGTAAAAGCGTCGCGCAACAATGAGAAGAAACACGCGTGTGTTTCCTGCATCAGTTCCGCTCCGCTGTTTATGTCTATGGTACTTTCGCTGGATGGTACAGTCACTTCCTTTTCCGGTATCGATATAACACCTTCATCTTCGCACCTGAAGTGAGAAAAACACAAAATAACTCGATTACTTTTTTAAACTTGTAATCAATGATTCGTGCACAAAAATAAACTCACTTGACATCGTCGAGTATGTCAATTCCGTCGTCGAGTTGAATTGGCAGCTGCATCATATCGATATTATCCAAATCAAGTTCTTTCTTGCATTCGCTTTCGACTTCCTCTTCAGTTTCGGCAAGAACATCTTCATTCACGCTTGAATTCAACTCGGTCTTGACTTCAACGTATTCTATATCCTCAATCTCCTTCTTTATTTCGGACGTATTGAGTATCGGTGGTTTGCAACTCTTCATACTTACCGGATTCCTGTAAATAAAAAATGTAACGAAGCAAGATCGAGCAAAGATGTTTATCTTAAAGTGAATGTAAAAGTCGCGACGTAATATTACATTTTCTGTTTAGCTAATTGATGTGCTTCGTACGCATCGACGGGTTCTAATTTTATAGGCGGTGTTATTTTGTTGTAATCCATTTCGACCGCGTTAGATTGCTTATTGTCGTCCGTTGTGTGGGAATAATCACTGTTATCACTTTCGTGTTTCACGGAATTCATTAATTTTGATGCGGGCGGACACGTGGACGAGTTTTGTTCTACTTTGATCTTCTTCTTGGCCGGTGTAATCTTCATGGAATTGCCGAGCGAGAGTTTGTGCTTTTGACCGATTTGCGATCTCTGCGTCAGATCGGCGAGAGCGATTCCTTGGGTGTTCAATTCGGGATGAACCTAAACACGTCATTAATTTCAGTCAGTTTCTCTTGTTCCTCAAAAAAAAAAATAAATAAATAAATAACCAACGGTAAGAGGGATTGTACGTACGTCGCGACGCGCCCGTCGTTTTTTATGTGCAATTAACATGGTGCGATAACTTTCCTCCGTTAGTTCGCGTACTAACAGCGATCTGCTCGGAGCGTATTCCGCTCGCTGCAACGTGGAAAACACAGGTCGAATTGTTTCGTCTTCCTGACTGAGTTGCAAGCCCTTAATAAACGACAATCCTTGCAAACTCATGGTGCGACGTTTCTTTTTCTGCTTCGCGCCTGTTGTTTGATACTGCGGATAGTTTTCCTCGTTCTCGGACGTCGTGTCGGCGGAAAGTCTCGCGTTGGATCCGAGTTCCGCCCGGACCGCGTTCAGTTCCTCCATATAGCGCAGCTGAGTCTTTTCTTCAACTGTCATTCATTTGCGTGTTAATATTGTCTCCCCAGAAGTTACTACATAATTTTCTCTGCCAAATCGCGGGGGGAAACATAAACAGCCGGAAGTTATTTAAATGAATCTTATGAAACGGACACTCACCCATTATCGGTTTCGGCTTGCGCAAGTGAAATTTCGATACTATTCGATTCGACGGTTGACTGAAACCTTGTTTGTACGCGTTCGACAGCAAACTCTCCCGTGACTTGAGCAACTGACTCGCCAGATCGTACGATCGTTTTCGTTCCTCAAACAACAATATCTTCTTTTGCGCCTTACGAACCAAGCTGCGCATTTTGCTTATATCGGGACGATAATGACCGGCGGAGAGGTGATTGTGGAACGTGTCCAATGGCGTTACACCAAATCTGTAATTACAGTTTAGTCGGTATGTTTTGTGATAATCATCAAGTTAGTTATTTGTGTCAGTTTATTCGGAAATCAAGTTATTGTTCTTCAACTTTTGTAAACAATATGCATATTTTTTCACTACCTGTCATTTTCTCTATTGAACAACATCTGCAAAGACTTCTCCATTTCCGCTTTTACATTGCAGTCTTTTGGAAAAGTTGGCAAAAAATTATACAAGGTTTCCCTTTGACTGTCATTGAGACATTCGTTCCAGAAACGTGGGTAATCCAACATTTCCTTGAAGATATTGAAGTATTCACAAAGATCCTGTGGCAATTTTACTTTGACGTTTCCAGCCACGCAAGTTTCCCATCTCTAAGAAAGTCAGTTTGTCGCACATACAGTTTTATTAATTTTTTTCTTTACTACATAGATCACGCGAAACATGTAAATATTAATTAAACAAAATCCTACCAGAGCATTGGGATTTTCTCCATTTATCATATATTCTCCATTTTCGTTTTCTTCTTCGTCCTCTTCTGCGGAACTGTGACTCTCGCTGCTGCTTGTCGCACGCTCCTCAGCACTGTCTTCCTCACTGTCCGTTGTTGTACTACTGCCACTCACACTGCTGCTGCTACTGTCAGTCCTAGAACCATGTGACGAAGCTTCGTCCTCATCTTCTTCAGCTGCACTATCACCTCCAGCTGAACATTCATCTATCTGTAAGAGCATGTGTGTGTGTGCATGTGTACACATATACTATATAAAGAACATGTGTGTATATATACTACATATACATATGTGGATCAGAAAAAAATCATATATGTGTGTATTTATGAAAACAAAATTTTCCACATATAGGCAATTTTTCGCTACATGTTTTTTCTGCGAAACAATTGATTTTATCTCGCAGCAGCAATATAAACCAAAAAACTAACCTCCATTTCTTCGAACTTCTAACCTCTCACACGTTACTTTAGAGAGCGATTCGCGTTGTCTATCGAAACAACAAATTATCTCTTGCACGTAACGCAATTTACATATATATTGTATGTAAATTAGACATATATATATATATATCTATGTACACAACACTGTAGGAAAAGACACACGAGAAAAGGTTAATTTCCCAGCACGTATAAACACTTGCACCAGTTCTTTCTTTAGGATATGAACAAGGATGACTCGTCTTCTCACGACGAAACGCGCTTGAACAATCTTGCCGTTCGCATTCACATGCTGTTTGTGTCACGTACTGTAATTGCACAACCGTAATTATTTGGCATATTTTTCCACAAATGAAAAGAGAACACAGTTTCGTACACACATGTACATATATATATATATATATCTTCTTCTTTGCACTTATGGCTCCGTGCCCCTTTAACTGTTTAGGCACCGGCCAGTCTTTGCTTTAAGCGCGCACAGGTTGGTTTGGATACGACTCCAGTCTGTCTGCTGCGCTGTGTACTGAGACTAAGGATTTAGTAACGACAGGTAACAAGCAGGAAGGGAAGAGTAAACGTAAAAGGAGTAGAAGGGGAAGGGGAGGGAAGGGTAAAAGCTTGTTTACAAAGGAGACAGCGTTCCGCTAGGACGGTTATACACTTATGTTGGCTGTATTGACGAACTTTAGTAAAGCAAACATGGCGCTAAAATTACTGGAAAAGGCAACCTTTTCCACACTATACGGAGGGCTAAACCCGTTGTGGTACAAATCAATCAGCAACCTGTCCGTACTATCTTTATTGCATGGACAGTGAAAGAATACATGATCAACACTCTGCTCCGGTTGGCCGCACTGGCACATAGCACTATCAACTATATTTTTCTCAAACAGGTGACTGTTCACTGCCGTGTGGTGTGTACGGATTCTAGACACTAGGGTGATTAACTGTCTTGGGAGGAACTTTCCTTTCTTAGTCCTAGAGTACCAAGGTTTGCCCAGCGGTTCCGGTACATACCTAAAATAACGACCGCCCTTATGGCGTGACAAACTAAGGAGATACTCTTTAGACAGCCGTAAAACATCTGACTTGATAGATGGGAAGAGGGAAGAGACCTCCTGTTTTTCAGCCGGTTCAGGTAGGGACAAGGCCTGTTTTGCATGATAATCAGCAAGCTCGTTACCGTGTATTCCTACATGACCGGGTACCCAGACAAACTTAACTCTAACTCCTTTTCTTTCTAACTTCACATCTATCGCCNTTATTTTGTGTACAAGAGAGGAATGACTCCCCTTCGGGTCAGGTGACTCAAGGCAACGTAACACAGACAACGAATCAGAGGCTACCACTACTGACGAGAAACCAAGATCTTCCGCATATTCCAGTGCACAAAGCACTCCCATCGCCTCAGCGTCGAAAATGGTAGACGAAGCGCCGACTCGTTCCTGGTGGACCAGCACCGGATTTTCAGACACAACAGCAAATCCCACAGCTGCGGGAGACCCACCGTCCACCAGGCGGACCAGAGAGCCGTCTGTAAAAAANACTCTAGTAGCACCAGTTTTCGACAGATAGTCTGAGAACACATCCTGGGGATTCTTTGATCCGCGTACTCGATACCCTACCTCAGTATCCACACAACACCTTCTATANCCCACCCCAAAAGGGAGGGCCAAGCTACCCGGCAACGTATACCTGACAACGTTCCTAGTGACTGGCATTAACTCCTTGCCAACTTCCATAAGACCGAATTGGACGCCCTCGCAGATTGGAGTCCAGTTCGCACAATTCTCCTCGATCAACCGTCCCACAGGGTGGTTGGTCCTCGCCAAAGCCCTGCAAATATACTTGCTCAGAAGGTACCTGTGTCTATACACCAGGGGTTGTTCACACACCAAGTCTAANAACACATTGGTCGGGGTAGTTCGCATGAGGCCACACGCTACCCTAATACATGCATACTGTAACCTACTCAGCACCAGCATTTCCTGTTCACCGAGAGGGAAGGTGACCTGACAGCCCCACTCAAGGACCGACCTCACTAGTCCCTTATATGCCGTCATTAACACTGCAGGATGCGCACCCCACTTTATGCCTGCAATTGCCTTTAGGATATTTATCCTAGGAAGGACCTTGCCACGTGTCACAGCAACATGTTTTTTCCAACTTAACTTATAGTCAATATAGACACCCAAGAACTTTACGTTCCACTCCACCTTTACAGGTGACTGTCCGATTTGTATTTTAACATTATGTTTTTTCAATAGCCACTTAGTATTCCTCAAAGAATTTAAGGAATAAAATGTAGCNACGGACTTACTAGGCGATANACTCAGGCCTAGAGATGACAAGTGTCTGTGGACACTAGACAAGGCCACATTTAGTTGGCCCGCCACCTCGGTAATAGACTGTCCCGTGCTATAAACTACCAGATCGTCCGCATATATGAGTAACTCAATCCCAGGTGGTAGACTNCACTCGACCCGAGACATATAAAGATTGAACAACAAGGGGCTCAACACAGAGCCCTGTGGAAGTCCACGAGTGGTGGTTCTACGCTGGATAAAAACCCCCGAGGCATACACCATCAGATCCCTAAAACTAACTACGGACGCTACAAAGGCAACAGCCCTGGGGGTTACCCCGAACTTCGGCAACATTGTCAAAAGGATCTCNGGGACCACATTGTCAAACGCGCCCTCAACATCTAAAAAAACCGCGCCTGTAATTCTGCGTGTGTTATTTGCAAGCTTAATTTTGGAAACGAGCACAGACAGGTTGTCTGTACAGGACAAACCCCGTCTGAACCCAAACTGATGGGGAGAGAANGCTTTACTGTTTTCAGCCCACCACTCGAGTCTTCTGCACACTACTTTTTCAAGTACTTTTAGCAAGTTGTTGGCTAATGAGATGGGTCTGTACGATCCACTACGACCGGGCTTCGGGATCAGTACTACAAAGTACTGTTTCCATTGTTCTGGATATACCTTCTGTGAATACATCCAGTTATAAAAGCCGAGAACGTACCGATGTATCTCAGGAGGTAACTGGGTAATAACGAGGTTGGTTATTAGATCTGGGCCAGGAGCCGAGCGCACCTTTAAGGACCNTACCGCAGACGAGTATTCGTCTTGGGTTACTGGGTTCTCCATGAACGACCCACCAGCAGCTGTCTCCAAACANCCCATCTCCTGCACTACGTCCACTCCTCCGGGGGCAGCAACAGGGTTTAACGGGGCAATTTTTTCCATCGCCCGACATAACCCATCTTGGTCGAGGCAGTTTCTATTCCCTGTGTACCTAGACTTACTACGAGCACCAGAAAACGCCCTGACAGTGTTCCAAACAGATCCTACATCCGAATTAGCATGGAGGGATTCACAATACTTTCGGAAGGCAACTCTTTTCTTTTTCCTGAAGAACCTGTAAGTTTCTTTTGAGACCCTGTTGTAATTGTCGAAGTTTTCCTTATTAGGNCGAGCAAGAAACTGTTTGCAAGCTTCCTTTTTCCTTTTATGCTCCTCAGCACACGAAGCATCCCACCAGGGGGATGGAGGTTTCCTAGAGGAACCTTGTTTACACACCTTCACGGCCCCCGCCTGTAACAATGCATCTTCTATGAGCTTAGTTAGACTAGAGTAAACAGTACTAACATCTTTCTTATCAGTAACATCTAACCTCGGGAGGTATCGGACCTGAGACACGCACATTGATCTAAAGACTTCCCANTTGACCCTACCCACTGAGTAATACGGACGGCAAGCCGTTCGACCCGTATAACGACAGCGTATTTTGGAGACTACTGGGAAATGGTCGCTACCGTAAAGGAACTCGCATACCTCCCAGAAGCACTGAGCGGCAAGATCTTGGGAGACTATGGTTAAATCAAGAGAAGAACGACAAGAAAGATCTGACGAACACCAGGTGTAACTTCCGTCGTTCAGGACAGAGAAGGAGAGACNGGTTACTGCTCTCTCGATTTTTCTCCCCTCTACATTAACAGTAGTAGAGGAACCACCCCACAGAGGGCTCTTACCGTTGAAGTCACCACAGATCACGGCAGGTTGATACCTGGAACAGGTGTGGAAGAAAAGGGACCAGAAGTCCGAATCTGTGTAGTCGTTACTACTACGAGGAGGGCTATATACAGAGAAAACATAAAGATGCTTGCCTTCAGGNAGAAGAAGTTGAAGAGCTACCACTTCCACTAAGTTCTGACGGCAAACATTATAGAGATCAGGAACGTCTAACAAACGGAACTTTATGTGTTTAGCAACCACAATTGCAACACCGCCTCCTTGTCTATTGCGATCACGAGAAACGACTTCGTGATTTGCAAACGTCACTATAGATTTTTCATCCATATAGGTTTCACAGAAAGCCGCCACTTCAGCTCGAGTATCTTGGAGTAGAAGTCTAGCAGCATCTAAGTTGCGAATCAAGGAGCGACAGTTCCACTGGACCACTGTAANAGATCCAAAGGGCGTCATTTCAGCACACACAAATTATGACAACCTTTTAACNAAACTCCCGGAGAGGGAGGATACAACCTCTTTTATGATGTTTTGCATATCGTTCTTGCTAAGTTTGGTTGGGTCGAAAGGATTTGAACCGTCTTTAAACCTTTTTAGGATATCTACAATGTTTTCTTCAACTGTACTGACGTTAACCAAAGTGGGGGGTTTTTGTCTATTTTTTGAACAAGAAGGTTCACGGCGAGGCAACACAGAACTTGTCTTGCTCTGTCGGGCCTCCTTGTTCCCATCTTCAGAACCTACGGGAGGGGGGGACACACTTGTCCCCGCCGCCTTTGCATAAGATGTACTTTGCAGGTGTGGACCCCCAGCGGAAAACCGGAAAAGCCCACTGCCTACACTGGTCGGTAAAAACTCTGCCAGGGTGGGAAGAGGTACAGTAGAGCCGCGATGAGAGGTCCTCCCATCGGTGACCTGCGCCCCCCCTCCGTCATATAGCCCCGCCGCCTCTCTGAAAGAGAGGTCACGATAGGCCATCATCTTATTAATCTCACGTTGTCTTTTAAACGCAGGGCATTCCATCGCGGAGGCCTGATGAGAAAAGCTCCTAGACTTTGATCGGATACAATTAATGCACTCGTCTTGAGTCGCTGTGCACGAAGATTTATGATGACCACTCCTGCCACACTTTTCGCAAACACGCTTGTTCTCATCCGAAGACTGTTTACATGCGAACCTGGTATGGCCAAAGCGTTGGCAAAAGTCACACCTCCTAACCTTATAAATGTACGGTATCAACTGAAGTCTTTTGCCATAGTACAGGCAGGAACTGGGAACGTTCGGTGAACGGAACCTCAAAATGAACTGGTTAGTACTTACGTACACCGGGGCCTCACTGCCACCACCTCCAACCCTGCGGGTAATCCGCACAGCNTCGAACGGAGGGGTCCACTCACCCGACCACCCGGGGGGAGGCTTCAAGCCGGCAATAAGATCCTCGGCCGTGTCCTCATCGTCAGCTCCCCTAAGAACAAACTGTTTNACCACCTTGAACGACGGGATGTGGGCCGTCCATACTTCAGTCTCCGTGATCCAGCCCGACACACTTCTGAACCGGTCCACAAATTCGTTAGCACAGCTACCTGTAGGAAAGCACACCGAGTACTTGTTCCTTCCTATAAGTTTAAGATCAAAAGCATGCTCGAATTGNTCTGACATAAGACGGTACAACTTCTTACCCAGCTTGATCACACTCAGCGACGACTGACCTTTACCTGTTTGTGAGTTAAGATCCTGTTCCCCCAGGGAAGAACCACCCGACCTGCACGTTTCCACGTGAACTAGGAAAGGGCCCCTCGATCCCGGGAAGTACTTGTTACACAACAGCTGTCTTTGGACGTCCGAAAGAGCCGTAGGTTTCCTCTTGGGGAGGAGGAGTCTCTCCTCAAGGCGAGAGCCCTCCCCCACCTCTAACTCTCTCTTACCACTTTTTTTCNTTTTAGGGGAACATAACCCCACCTTGCACGCAATTTCATCAACAACTGACTTGCCACCAGCAGTTTCACCCTCATCTCCGTCACGGGAGGAGCCCCCGTCAGTGACTGGACACGGGGGACCGCCGGGGGGAGAGCCGCCGCTCTCGAGCATCTCCACGTCTTCCTCTAGTTGTGTCTTCTGAGACATAACCCCCTACTTTACCCTGAGTAGATGGGTGTAAGGACTTAACCTGCTCAGATTACGAAACCACAAAAATACGTGTCGCGGACAACAAAGAGAGCCGGAACCGCCGGGTTCAGAGAACTTCACACTACCAGTGAACTGTAACCAGAATCACGGCGAACAGCAAGACAAAGAGCCTTGCCAATATGGCGTCGAGAAGCCACAAACGCGGCCAACCGACGCTCACAGTCNTTGTCGTGAAAACGACAGTTTGCGCGAACGGACAAGCCGCTAGATAGATAAATCTACCAAAAACAGACCGGACCGTACGACTAACTTAACTTTTACCCGCAATGTTTGCTTAGAGCCAACAGGAAGGGCAAGGAAAGGAACAGCACAGCAATAGCGATGTTGCTTGTTGCGCAGTCTCAGCACGAATCCTCCATATATATATATATATGTATACATCATAGACTTATATAATAGACGGAACACTTATATGACGAAGTTGAAGACAACATTAAAGGAGACAGAGATAATGCTGGAGTAGTTGTTTCTCTCTCTTACAATAAGAGCGGTGGGGGACCAATCATCTTCGTTGCTCTCGGCCACTCCCTCGGCCTGTCGCGGCCACCAATCAACTCACTGCTAGAAAAGAAGAGAACTACTCCGCGACTATTTCTGTCTCTTTTAACGAAGCTTCAGCTCCTCTTACACGAATGTTCCGTCTATTATATAAGTCTATGCCTCTAAACAACCTTCAGCCATGTTTCCATGGTCCACTAGTGGTGGATCTATCTACACTGAAACTTCATTTAGTTTTCCTATCACTTATCTTCCCACAAAATCTCTCAGTTATATTCGCATTTAGTTTCCCCTCTAACTCCCACTCTCACTTTTTTCTCATTTCCCACTCTCGCACTTAGCAGAGCAAACGAGGCGCGGGGAACGACATGATTTGCAACAGCCAATCACACTGCAACCGTAATGGAAAACCACCTTTACTCTGCAGCAGTGATGGAATTCTCTCTGAGGTATGTTCTAAAATCTTACCTTGGTAACCGAAAACTATAGTATACGTGACGTAAAATATAGCATTTTAGTAATTAAAGTAGGATTTTGGAACGTACTCCTGGGATACGTTCCAAAACTCTACCTTGGTTACTAGAATGCTATATTTTACGTCACGTGTACTATAGTTTTCGTTTACCAACATAAGATTTTGGAACGTACCCCGGGACGCATCGTGAGCATAGCGCGTTCAGCAAAATTTACTCTACTGTTGTACAATATTTTGAGTTGTCTGAACGCATCTATTATGTTTTGATATGTGTTACAGAAAAGTCACAAAATATATATGTTTACGTATGAAGAAATATATCTATGTACAATGTCGAGACTTCAAATTATTATATCACATCGCGATGTTTAATTCGCTGAAATACAGATTTGCGTTAAGAATTGTCCTCCTTGCCGTTTTTCTTTCATTTTAAAAAAAAGTGGGGGACATCTGGTGTCGTGTCACTCGTCGTGTCGTGCTCGTCATCGGTTGCGTCGGATGCATTGCGCGTTTGTTGTGTGTGTCAACCGTATTCAAGTTATTCAAGATGGCAAGTATGCTGGAGACGATCGTAACTCAAGCGAGTGAAAATGTAACGGACATAAAAAATGTGACGAGTACAAAAGAACACTTAACTCGCGAGGGAATGGCGATCGCGTATGGGAGTCTTATCATCATGGCTATCCTGCCGATTTTTTTCGGCAGCTACCGCGCCGTCAAGCACCATAAGGAGCAGCAGGTTAGATTCTGGCTTTTTGACATATGTTTGGCACACATGTTTCTTCAGGTCTCTGTTTTGCATTACTCTGACAACGATACAACGCAGAAATTCACAAAATGTTTTCTCAAATGTTGAACTTGCGATATGAGAGTTTTCTTGTACAATAAATAAAAGCTTTTTATTTTAAAAATGCGCTGGAATTTTCAACTTTTGTTTTATTCAGATTTCCACTCAGATAAAGCGATAATTGAACGATTGATGAAAGTAGAAAAAAATTTGTATATAAAAATTTGTATAATTTGTATGAATTGTGCAGCAATATAGTTTATATAGTTTCGTACATGTGTGTGTGCTTTATGTTTTTGTATTTTTTTTAAATTGTGCTTTCATACTTACAACATTATGTATTACATCTTACAGCAACAGTATAAAGAGAGCGGGGAACAGCCTGAAACAATGTCTCGCAAAGAAGCTGCTATGTTTCCCTTTATTTCCAGTTTTACATTAGTGGGTTTATATATAGTATATAAGGTACTTACATTTGTACAAAACAAAATATTTTAAGTTTTACAGTTGTAAAGCGTTACTCAAAAATGTTACTGTTAACAGGTATTTGCAAAGGAATATGTTAACTTGATATTGGCTGCATATTTTTTCTTCCTTGGTATTCTAGCTCTGTGTCATCTCACCAGGTAAAAATCTTGTAAATAATTATAATTACACATTTTAATTTTTCTTTTAGTTCAAAATACAAATTTCTAAATTCAAATAAAAAAATTGATTTTAATTATCAAAACATATTTTGTAGTACCAAAATGTAAACAAATTTTGAAGTCATAAAATTTTAGCCCATTGATCTCATCTTTGGTACCAGCTGCGATTCCAAAGACACAGTATCACATTTTATTTACAAGAGGAAAGGACGATAAGGAGGAGGATATCATTAATTATAAATTTAATCTACATGACATTGTCTGCCTTATATGCTGCTCATTTGTAGGAGCTTGGTATCTCATGAAAAAAGTAAGTGACAAAATAGAACTTATAAGAATATATTCTAAAATTTTAGATTTCAATTATTCTTATTCACATTTATATTTATTTTATTGCAGCATTGGATAGCTAACAATTTATTTGGGATAGCATTTGCTATTAATGGCGTTGAGTTATTGCATCTCAACAATGTTGTGACCGGATGCATCTTGCTCTGTGGTCTTCTGTTTTACGACGCCTTCTGGGTGTTTGGTACAGATGTAATGGTGACAGTCGCAAAATCCTTTGAAGTACCTATCAAACTCGTCTTTCCGCAAGATCTTTTAGAGAAAGGCTTTGAGAACGCCGGTAATTTTGCCATGTTGGGATTGGGCGATATCGTGTTGCCCGGTATCTTCATAGCTTTGCTGTTACGATTCGATAACAGTCTGAGCAGGAAGACGAACATCTATTTCTATTCAACGTTCTTCGCGTACTTTATGGGACTGCTGATTACTATGATGATTATGAACTTATTTAACCACGCACAACCTGCTTTGCTCTATTTAGTTCCTGCGTGTTTAGGCACTCCACTGCTCTTGGCATTATTCAAGGGAGATCTTAAAGCGTTATTCTCGTGAGTATCTTTTGCTCGATTACAAAAAAAATTTACGTATCATTTACGTATTATTTCATATCTCTCTAAGTTTTGCAACAATTTGTGTGATTATTCTTTTTTCTAGGTATGAGGATCATCCGTCTCAACCCGCGGCGCAACAATCGGAGCAAGCACGAGTAGAAAATAAGAAGGATAAATAGTATTCTTATTTAACGCGACGAATGCGATGAAGAACAATTCTTATTACAACTGTCTTTCGAGTTTATCTTGCGAAACAAAAAAAAAGGATAATAGTTCATGGTTCATGCTCAAGACGTCACTCATGTAAAAGCGCAATTATCCGTAACTGTCTTGCATGCACATGAATTTACATTACAAGATCTACAATATATTATATTCCAATGATATAATTCACAATAATTAGCGTTTTTCAGATCTTTTTTGATCATAAAACGGAAATACGGTTAAACATTACAAAATAATGTTAATAAAAAACACTGTTTTATTTGCCGAATCGGTAGAAAAAATTCTTATCACTCATGGTATGGTATTGATGGACTATGTTCTGAGATATGGAACGAAATGACTTCGTCATCTGAAAGACGAAGAGCACAAAGCATAATAAAGCATAGTTTTTGTTGTTTTAAAGCGTAGAATAGAATCAAGATACTTCCAACTTGTTGATTTATATATTTCGCGTATATTTACAAGACTGCCACATGAAAGTCTACCTGAGTTTTGCAATTAATATTTCTATGTATCTTCTAGTATGAAATCTCAGTTCAACAATTACATATAGTTTTACTGATTTAAGTAGTCCAGTATTTTTTCTTCTACCACCATATGTGAGTGATAATCGTAAATATAATTGTTTTTTTTTTATGCGCAACGTAATTTCGGACACTGTTATTACACATATAAGAAAAAAGAATTATATATAAACACGCAATCATATAAAGAAATATATTTAAAAAATGCTACTATATCTTTATTTATTTGTAAAAAAATGCAGTGTAACACTAATAGTTATGATAAATAGAAACCGTCTATTTATGAAACGTGATTGTATATATACAATAAGAATCTATTGCGTAATTTATTTTTAAGTTACAAAATTTGAAAAAATTTGTGACTTCGAAAAAATAAAACTTTTTCGGTACTTACAATATTACTCACAATTAAAGATTATTATTGTTAATAGTAATAATAATAATCTTGTAATTAGAGAAAAACATTCATTTGTAAAAAAAGATCCTGCTACACATTTTTTCAGTAAAAAATAAAACTGTTACTTGAACTCACAATTGTATTATTCTAATACAGTGAATATAATACACTAGTTTTGTATCATATATTATTGAAATAAATACAGTTTTTTTCTTTACACTTGCATACAAAGTGTTAAAATAAAAAGCACCAGTTACTTTTCTAACTTAGAAACAAGGGGAAAAAAATGTGTGAATGTCATAATAATAAATATATTATTATACATTATATATCTTTTATTTCTATAGAGAAAAGTTCTTGTTACACCAAAAATATATAAACACTTAAGAAGTATGAAGATCTCTGGCACCACTTTCCAAAGCTAAATTTTCAGCTGTAATTGGCTGTAAATCTTGAATTCCATCCTTGGATATTTTTTGAACTTTGAAATTAGGTAAATTGACAATTAATCGTTTTTGAATTTCTTGCACACATTTCTTCAATAACGCATACCCTTCCTGTTCAGTGCAATCTATTAAAAACAACAAAATTATGTTTATTAAAATTATACTCATTGTTTTGTTTACTAAAAATTTATTTTTTCTAAAATTATTACCATATTTGTGATATCTATCTAGGACAGACATAGAGAACATCCCACCATATCCATGAGCTGCATAAGGCACCTTTACACAGGATGCTAAGTAATCGATAAAATACAATTCACACGAATTAGTATTGTCATCATAACCAGCAAGTAACATATTAACATAATAAGGAGTCCTGCTTCTAAGATAATCAGCTAGATTTCTTCTTGTAAAGCAAGCTGCGGCTTTGGGAGACAATTCGTAGCCATTTCGCATCTTGTAAAGTTGAATATTCTTTCCAATATATTCTGAAAATTGTGTTGTGTCACCTGATTCTCCAGATACTGCCATGACAAGCTTGTTCGAAATCTTGTGAATCTTATGTTCATCTATAAAAACAAATTTACACACATTAGAATTGCACACATTACATTTAAGTTCACATGCTGAAAAATATTAATTAAAAAATAGTATAACATCATAATAGTTGTCAAATATGACAACATTGACAATATAAAGATGTATAAAAATAATAAACTATCTCCTACCGCTTTTCATAACTATAATAGACTGTGTGGTTGTCATATCGGCTGCGATGAGCACAAAATCTTTACAATGAATACCGATTAAACACTCCATTTTTGCATTTGCTTTTGCGTTGCAATACAAAACCTGCAAAATTGCTTATCACGGCTTCACAGCTTTGACAAGCTTCGACCAGAGACTGAGAAAAGAGTGAGAGTGGCCAGAGCCATATGAAAAACCATGGTGTAAGAATAATAAGTGAGTTATTCTGAAGATGCGCAGTAGCAACCAATCAGAGATTTGGCCAAAATCGTAAAGCAATATGGCGGCAACGCAGTGGAAACTGTCAATTATAGAATCGTGTTAGTATTTGATCTGTTCTATTTTTTACTTTCACAAACAGAAAAATGCCGACTTGTATTCAGTATTGTAAAAGTCAGACTTTTAAATCAGAAATTAAAAATTTGTCTTTTTATACATTTCCAAAGATTTATATATCAAACAACAATAGATTGATGCATGTAAATTAAATAAAAATAGAAACATTGAGTGTGGTAAGATGATATATATATACCGTAATCACGTGACCGAAGTCAGTAACACCGCCGCGGTCAGTGACCCGTCAAGGCCGCGCGGCCGAGGTCAATGACCCCGCCAAGGCCACACGCCGCAGTCAGTGACCCCCCCCACCAAGGCCGCGCGCCCGCGGTCAATGACCCCCCCCTCTACCAAGGCCGCGCGGCCGAGGTCAGTGACATTACTGTAGTATGTATATAATACATATAATACATATACATATACATTTATATGTTGTAGTTTATTTTTTTGCATTGTACATTACATTTAATCTCTGTTTTTAATTCCTATTCTTAATATTTTTTCTATCGTGCTCAAGCTCTAATGCTCCGTTTCCTTATTCCTATGTCTATGAATTATGTCCGAAAAACGATTGTAAAAATTCTTATGGGCCCGGCCGCTCTCATTCTTCTCTCTGATCCTAAACGTTGCTCATTTTGCTTCCCCTGCGCAGGCCGAAGATCTCTTAGTGAACAGAGTGTAATGAATTTGCGATAAGTCAATTGATTACAAAAAGTGATCAAGTGAAACTGAATCAATCAGCGTTCCCTTTCTTTACATTCAAAATTCTTGGATAAGCAAGGATAAGCGGGATAATAAACTATTTTTGTAACGTCGGGATTGAAATCGTTTAATCTCTCATGTCTTTGTACATAAAACAATAAAAATTGAACATAGGTTTTATTGGAAATTACCGCGATATATATTAGCATTTGATGTATAGTGCTAGCGCTACAGTACATGCTCGATATCTTCTAAATTTATTCCTTTCTCTGATACAGAGGTTTTTATTTATATGATTATGGTTTCAATGTTGCAAAAGTTGCGCCTTTTTTTTTTTTTTTTGTTTTTGTGTCAGAAATTGAGCTCCTTTTTCCCCTCTTTTACATAGAAACCTCCCTATTTACACAAGAACACAAGTGTGACAAACAAACACCTAGATTCTATAAATCGAAGTCTATAACTTCTGCGAAATTATATATCGAGATTTTTATTCGCCGAGATATATGTGCGTCACGCTTGTATTTCTGTGCAGATTTCTGTGCTTTACACAAAATGAGAATCTCGTTTTCATATTTTTCAACGTTACTTATTTCGTTAATTTGTATAGACATATTTATACAATCCCATTACTTAAAAGGGCTGGTTCATGAGTAAATTATATTTATCGAAGTGATTAAGTATAATTTTCTTTAATCCTATATGTATATGTGTACATACACCACACACACGCAGGCACGCACACACGCACGCACGCACGCACACGTATAATATATTTAGAATTTATATATATATATCTTTATATACCACAAAAATGTATTATTAATATAATACAATATCTATAGTATGTTTACAATATAATAACTTATAAATCTACAGAATATATATATTTTTGTGTATTTACAAGGGTATTCTTTATTATATATAAATAAGTATATAGATATATTAAAAACATTCGACAATTCATGTAAAGAAAACAAAAAACAAAAAATCAGTCCTTAAGGGACAAATTGCTGCATCATCTAAATAGGCAATTCAAATGTCTGCGTCAGAGATCGCGAAATTGAAGTTTAGTATAAGGATACTTGTTTCTTTTATATATACATAAAAAATTCTTCATACCAGTTTATATCAAGGCCTACAAGTGCATTTTATGCAGAAATTGCAAACACATAATTATCACCGCAGATTGAAATGAAAAAGGTAACGGTATGTATTTTGCATATAAGATATTCAGTTACTCGGTACCGATTCCATCCCCGTGTCCATCAAATTAATTTAAAAATTCCAATTAAATATGACAAAATGAGAAACATTTTTCATGTTTAAAAGTTTAAATAATTTGTCATTATTTGCTTATTGAATTATGATTTTCTACATTTTTTCACTATTAGTTAATGTAATAATTATATTTGCATAGTACATTTTTGCAAAAAATAACAAAAAATCATTAGAAAAAGGATTTCTAAAAAATAGGAAAATTTCATGTTGCGTGTAACATTAACATTTGTGCGTTTAAAAAAATATCGGATTCGCACTTATTATTTCGATTGTTTTTTCTACTTTTATATTCTTCCTGCTGTACGAAATTTTATATATGAAAACTGTACTGTACTATTGATTGTTCGCAATATTAATATAAAAATAAATTGTGTAATGGAATCCTGTTTTTTACTTGTATTGTGTAGATCTAGTCTAAATAGGTAGTATTTAACACTTCTAAAAGTGTGATTAATGATATATTTGCAAGAGAACAGTGTAACATATTTGTTACACGAATACGATTGCTTTGCATATATATATTTTATCAGTCGATTGTATCTCACATTGCATCAACAAAAACGAACTTTCTCACGGAAAGAGAGAACACGGAGATCGGAATTCCTTATACGAGACAAATTAAATCTTTTCTGTTATTAAAAACAAAAACAAACCGACGTCTGAGATGCAACACACAAGAGAGGAGCGACTAAAGTTTGTAATTTTCTTATGTGCCTCAAAAATTATATATTGCACAGTCGGTTTGAATAAGTAAAACAACCGATCGCAAAAAAGAAACAATCATTGTACATTGACAAATCAGTTCAATGAGATGCGCTGAGTCTCGAACAAATAAAAACGTGTTATCTAATCGGAAATGCGACAGAATCTATTTTCTAATTTATATAAAATCCAACGTATTTTAAAATGAAATATGACAATTACTGGCCATGGCACGTAGTTTTGCTATTATAAATCCTTCTTCCATCTTCGGTCATTGCTTTCACGAACAAAATGCACGCGTTCAACATAGTGCAGACTTATTTACACGTTTCACGCTGCTCTTTCATTTGCTTGTACTGTGGTATTTGTAGACTATGTCACAATATGACAAGTGTAAAAATTTAGAAACGCAGGTGAGAGATAATCTTTAATTCAAAGAACCGGTCTTTGTATCCGTCACGTTCTATCTTTGCCAGTACTTTAAAAAACTGTGACACTATCTACGTAACCTTAGAAAAGAAACATGTATATCTGTACAATTGGCACTTCTTGCCTGTCGGTAAGGAGTATCCGAGAGTATAAAAATGATGGTTGTTCAACTCTCTCTCTCTCTCTCTCTCTCTCTCTCTCTCTCTCTCTCTCTCTCTCTCTCNTTGCCAGTACTTTAAAAAACTGTGACACTATCTACGTAACCTTAGAAAAGAAACATGTATATCTGTACAATTGGCACTTCTTGCCTGTCGGTAAGCACTTTATTTCCCTTCTACGCTCTTAGACATATCTCTCTCTCTCTCTCTCTCTCTCTCTCTCTCTCTCTCTCTCTCTCTCTCTCTCTCTCCCCCCTTCCCCCCCTCTCTCTCTCAAGTGTAAACGCGCTTACTAAATGACTCAAGTTGCAATATACTCCTTACAAACGAAGACCTTTGGCCAGAGTAATAAGTTTTTTTTGGATAAGGCTTCTCAATATACTTTTTAAGTTCTCTTTCTAAAAAGAAACAATTTTTTCTTTCTTAACATTTCTCTATCTCTCTCTTTTACTCTGTTGTTTACTTATGCAAACGTACGAAATGTATATGTATATTATCATTTGCATACGTTTTCAAGACTGTTATTTATTTTTTCCAATAATGTTATGAGTCACATTGGACAAACAGTTTCAATATATCAGCAAGTCATTCTTATCAAGTAACACACACACACACACACATCCGTTTAAATATATTAATTTACATATAAACGGAGAGAGAGAGAAAGAGAATGAGCCATTTAAGCTGTGAGGCCATTAAGTAAGTTGACGCAGTACATCGCTTGCAAAACACTTATTTAACCGTGGAATAATTTTGTTGTGCATTTTGATTTGATGATACCCATGTGTTAAACACATCTCTGAAACAGACAATGAAGTAGATAATAAAATCGAAATATAAAATATGTAAATAAACTCAATATAACCGCCAATACAAACCTGCAATGACTGACCACACATTCGTTACTACAGTATTCGTCCTCCCATTCGTTATTGGATATGGCGGGATTAGGACACCCCTGATGTATACATGGTGGCGGTCCCTGTCCTGTTATCACTTGCGAAGGATTTGCCGGCGACGAACAACTCGATAACGTTTCAGATTTCATTGACATTTCTTCAGATTTGACAAACTCCGCCTTCGGTGGACTCATGTGTATCATTTGCTGTTGTTGATGTTGTTGCACTTGCACCTGCTGCACCTGTTGTTGTTGTGACACCTACAAATCACATTATAAGAACATTGTTATAAACATCGTGAAATATAAATATAATTATCTGACAAACCATGTCATTAAGGGGATCCTAAACTGACGGTCGAACCCCGTCGGTTTACCGAAGCTGAATTTACAGCTTTTGGCGTCAGATCGTAGTAATATTCCATCAATATAAAAAGTTATGCAGTTTTGTACGTAGAAAACCAACTGCGTCCTGCGAGCTGTCTATCAGAAATGTGTTTAGAAGGTTAGTGTAAATAAATAGTGTGCGCAAAATGATGAATAAATAGTGTGTGTATTCCAATATGTTCTGAAAATATTCACGCACACTCTTTATTCATACTAGGCTTCTAAACGCATTTCTGAGAGCTCTATATTGTTCTTTATGTTGTCCCGAAAACGGGACGCAGTTTGTTTTCTACGTACAAACTGCATAACTTTTTACATTAAATAAATATTACTACGATCTAACGCCAAAGACAGAGGTGGACCGTTAACTTTGGGGGCCTTGGGCTAACACTGTTTACCTGTGCCAGTACTTGGAATTATTTTTAGTGCAAAAAAAAAGGTTGGTTTTGCCGTTTATTTTTGACCACGAAGAAGTCCTTTGATTGAACGGGGCTCCGGGCTGCAACCCATACAGACACCATACCTAAATCCGCTTCTGGCCAAAAGCCGTAAATTCAGTCGATAAAACAGATCCAGTTTAGAATACCTTTAAGTCATATATACAGGATATCTGAAAACATTTGACACAGCCGAAGTGTGAAGATAGATTAAATCATTATGATTAATTAATACATGTAACCCAATGAGCGCGTAGAAACCAATGGTTTGGACTCTGTAGGCGTGTCTAATTTTCAGTTATAAAGAAAAATGGGTTACTTCATGCAATCTTCTTGAAAGAAAGCAAGAAACGAAGCAAACAAGCAAGTGATGAATGACATATTGTTTGTTGCGATCAGCTGATTTTTACGACTGAAAAACATACACGCGCTTATAAAGTGCGAACCATATACAGGATGTCCCATTTGAGACAGAACAGTGATATATCTCAAGAACCGATGAACGAATCGAAAAATGTTTCAGACAAAAGTTATATGGTGTTGAAGAGAAAAAATAATGACATTATTAATTTAATTGTAGATATCAATATCATGTAATGGAACTTTTTGACTCTGTTTTATTTCTAACTGCCCATGAGAGAGGTTGCACTAATTGTCGGACTCCTCTGTGTGTGTATGTGTGTGTGTGTGTTTGCGCGCGCGCGTGTGCGTGTAAAATGTATAATCTGTGCTGAAAACCAAGAAGTATTAAAGATTAAAAGAGAAATCGTCGCAAGCGTAACAAACCTGCATGTATTGCTGTTGTGAGACCTGTTGTTGCATATGTTGCTGTTGTTGTGTCATGTGTGGCGGTGCCATTACATTACCCATTAAACTCTGCAAAAAAATAATGTGTATTTTTATCTTTTTCGCTGCTACACTTTTAATTTACATTTGCTTCCAAAATTTCTGCTTGCGTATTCACTAAATAATTGTACCTGTTGTTGAGGATTTCCTTGCATCGCTAGGTGATGTGACTTCTTATTTATATTCATTTGCTGTTGTTGTTGTTGTTGTTGCTGCTGCTGTTGTTGATGTTGCTGCTGAGGTGATGGTGGTTGATGTTGAGGACTGTAAACCTGATATGTTACATTTCCTTGCGCGGTGTTGGCAGAATAACTTGTATAGCCGCTGTATTGTATTTGCTGTTGCGGTTGTTGCGCTTGCTGTTTCGGTTGTTCATTTTCACCAGCACCCTTGCTCACGAGAGACGCTCGATATGCCGCGAGAGCTTTCAGATATTCCTTCTTAGCTGCTTCGGTTTTCTTTTTGTAATACTACACAAAGAAGAATTAAAATCGTTATCTCGATAACGACGACATCGGAAAGAAACATCATTGAATCTTATATTAAAATAAACTACGAAACAACAATACGTCATATTGTTAATGATTATCGTGGACTACGCAGTAGAAATATGTGAAGATGATTACAACTTTGATACTTACGTTTTTGTGTTCTAAATCTAACGCGTCCCACATCGACGCAACGATTTTAGATACTTCGCCGAAGCTGGCGTTTGGATGTTTCCCTTTAATCACTGCTTGAGTGTCTCTGAAGAAAAGAGCGTACGCCGACACTGGTCTGAAAATTAATTACACATTATATAAGCTACACATGAGAAATATTATTTTATAGCTGTAAGCACTTTTGTTACATTAACAGCGTTACTAAAATTAATAATTTGAAAAAGCATCTCGAATATTAAAGAAATGATAATAAAGTCAGACCGCGTTTTATCTCTCAGGACCTAGCCCCTTTATCTTGTCCGAATTAAATAAAAATTATTTTAGAATTACAAGCTATTTATGAGCTTTCAAACCCATTACGCAAAAATTTTTGAGCTCGTTTGTCGAAGCAAGAATTTCGAATTTTCGGTGTAAAAGTCGAGTTCGTTTGGATCGCACCTTCCTACTATTTAAACCTGTAGATATCAAATTGCTTTTTGCGTCAGAATTTCGAGCTCTTTACGAGTTCTTAAATAGTTACAATTTAGATTTTTGAGCCCCAACTCCTTGCGTGCAAAGACACTCCAAAGTATTTTTGCTTCAAGAAAAGTAGTCTTTAACCTTTAGACCGCCAAAAAAAAGAAACATTTAAATATTTTCGCGGATATTAGATTTATCGACGTTGTCACATATTCATACAAAATTCTGTAATATTACAACCGAGAATTTCGGATTGCCACATATTGCCACTTACTTTTGTGGTTCATTAGGATCTCTCTTTTTCTTTTTCTTCTGCGGCTTCGTTTTTCTTTGATTCTTCGCTCCAGCGTCAGCCGCTTCCGGTGACGGTGGTTCACGTTTGACCATTGCAATCTGAAAATAGAAACATCATACACACATTGAAGAAACTTTATATACATACATACATAATCTTCCTACTAAAATAAAAACAACATTCAATAAATTTTAAAATTACTCTATCTTTATTATCTCGTTAAACTTCTACGTTTCTTGAAGAAAGTACCGTTATTTGATACCGGTTTAATTTAAAAAAAAAAAAAATACATGCATATATATACATATATATGTATAAAATAACACTCAATTATTTATTATTGATTCCAACTGTTTATTGTCGACTTTTAAACACATTTATTCGTTTAGCACAAAACGCGCAAAGTTTGTTTATGATAAACAACGACTTACCATCCCGGAATGTGGAGTACTGTCGTCGCTATCTTCGCTGGTTGTAGTATTGTTGTTTGTCTCCGGTATATTATTGCTTTGCATAGCGGTCGGACTGCCACCTGTCGGACTTCTGTACTGCATTTGTTGCTGCTGCTGTAACTGCTGTTGCTGATGTTGCTGCTGCTGCTGCTGCATATACTGCATATGCTGCATTTGAACCTGCTGCTGCTGCTGTTGTTGTTGTTGTTGCATCATCAACAATTGTTGGCCGTTGTGCTGTTGCTGGCGAGGAGAGCTCATTCCGTACGATCCTTGTGAGCTACCGTACGGTGAGCTGCAAGCAAACGAGAGGAAAATTTTTGTCATAAAGATGTTTTTTTGTTCGACATAAAGAAAGATGTTTTTTTTTTGTCCGAGCAAATATAACCGTGATGTCACGGGACTAAATTGGAACGTAGAAAATTCGAAATAATGTGAAAAAAACATTAAGAGTTCCAGTGACTAGAGCTTGCAAAAATAAAACAAGGAATAGCAAACATCGTACGTAAGTAGCGTAAATTGTTTTTCCGAGATATAGCATCAAGGACGAAGTTTAAGTGTCGGCGATACTGGGCGAAAGAAAACGAACACACACACACACACAGAGGGAATATTCTCCGCAATTTTAACGCAAATTGGATAACTTTTGAGATATGGTCGGCGCTGCGTCAGCGTTGCACGATTTACGGCCTACTCTATATCATTTCCCTTCTGTGCTCCTTCTTCAGTTCAATTCCTGCCTTTTCCCCTCTCTCTCTCTCTCTCTCTCTTCCCATAACTTTTTGCCGTAGATTTTTCGACGGTTGAGAACGACAAAATTATTTTTATTTTAAATAATAAAGCAAAATGATCGATAACAATAGAAATTATTTTGATAATTCAAATCGGTTTTTAATTGTTAAGAAAATAAACAGCGGTGCATTTCACAACCACTTATAAATATAAAAATAAAAGAAAACTCGAAAAAAAACAAGCTTTTGAACGTTTTTCTTCGTTTCAAGGTATTGTTCTATATCTTGGAGTGAAGTGCACTTTATTCTGCGCATCGTAGAATTTATTAATTATACTTCAAATGAAATTCTACTCGCACGTGTAGTACACGTTCATGTATTATGTATAAATCTTTCAAATTGTTATTTATACAATATTTTCTCCGGAACACTATCTGTCAATTTTGTTTATAAGAGAAGAAGTGCGTAGTGTTACGCAATGCAATATACATTCTACATAAGAGTGTGTTTATTGACGTTCTATGCGTCATGATATTATGCGCAAGATAACTACGCAGTTAACTCTTCAGTCTGCTTCGATTCATGGCGTGCATCGTCCTTAGATACCGATATCGCGTCTTTAGATTTGATACATTTATGTATACTATCAACATACATTTTCTTCTCTCTCTCTCTCTCTCTCCTCTCTAACCATATTAATTACGGCACATAATTCGAAAAGCAAAGTGCGCTCGGAAGGCGAAGGACATAAGGCCCACAAGAAGAATACCAACAAAGCTATGCGTCCACCGTCATCTCTCTTATCTTCTTCGCAAGATACGTTCGTTCCTTGTCCGCTAAGAAAAGTCTCGACATCCTAAATTGCAGTCATAAGACTATGTAATGGCAGGTTCTCACGAACGTTACTCGGTAGACTTAATACACACGGTAAATCATAGCTTCAGTTACCTTCTTGCGTAGAGACGCAGAATGCACGCAGAAAATGCACATACACAAGCATGCATGTATAGGTATACATCTGCTTACTCTTATACACAGAACCTGACGATTTTCCTTCATTTTGTCTGGAACAAAGAAAGGTACGCGCCTCTCCACACAGGGGGGAAACATAATCCTAACGGTAGTGAGAAACATTATTAACGTGCTCGTGTAAAAAAACAGAAGAAAAACAATATTGTTGCGGAAACAAAGACAGGAATTGCGCACCGAATCTCCTGATCTCCCACCGATTATAGGTTCTATATTAGGTTCTATATTATGAGAACGATACAATTTGCTTATGGATGCACGAGTTGTGCAATAATAATTAACTGACATTGAGAAAGAATGCTTTTTAAACATATAGTAGCGTACTAGGCAACATCCGTTTCGCATTTTGTCTTCGTACAAAATGTACGTGAACAAACTTTTACTTTTCTTTTACAGCTCTGGTAATGTATTTTATTTTTTTTTTTCATAATATAAATGCAAAAGTTTTGATGAATTTTGTGATATAATAGACCAACTATTTTATTAAACTACTTTAAAAACGATTTAGTCATTCTGTCAAGTATAACGGCAAAAACCAATAAAATTACTCGGTCTACTTTTCTATCGCAAAATTCATCAGAACTACTGCACTCATCCAATAAATACAGCAGCTGATACTTCTCTTATCATCTTTGTATTTTACTTAGAGGTAATTGTCCCCAATGATGAGACATTTTAGTAAAGATATGATTAACTCTTTATCTGCAGATTTCAAAAATAACCTGCAAGTAAGACAGACTGAGCCTGTAAGACCTACACAAATTTAAAATCGAATATCTGCAAAAAATCAATATTTTTTCACTTTTTAAAATCAAAAGTTTGAACAGTTCTACATCAATTAAAAAAAAAAAAAAAAACTTGAAAAAATTTCTAATAGTTTTGGAGATTAAAAGATAAGAGTTTAAAAAAAAAAAAACATTTTTTCGGGAAACGCTGATGCGTAATATTTGAGCGGAAGACTCATGTCAGTCTACGAAGGGGGTTAAGATACATAAATATTAAACATAACAATTCTCAATGTTTTAAATATTCTTTATGATATACGTTTTTTTTTAAATATTAATTTTTTAACTTTACATATAAATTTTTAACTGTACAACTTTTTAAGTTTTTAATCGTCTCGAATATTACGAGATTATAAGCGAGAATAATTTTCATAAGACCAATACAATAGAGTTATATAATATTGTAGATAAAACGCGCAAGATCTCTCGTACGCGTTGCACTTCTGTCTCACGTTGCGCGCTACGTACGACGATCAAAATTGGTTTTACCAAAATTGCTGTAGGGCAGCGCGCAATAACGAGATAAGTCAAATTTCCATAATTTGAAGTTATGCAAACGGTTGTACGCCATACAACGATGCGATTATTGCTGTATATATCAAGAGAGAATATATACATATATATATATATATATGTATATATATATCGCTAATTCAACAATCTTCCATTTGAGAAATTTCGCCAAGTTTCCCGCAAATTAACACGCTAATTGTCGTTGTTCACGTTGTTACGAAACGATTTCTCTGGCAAAGAAATGTGCGCATCGTAATTTCAAACCTCAAAGTGAATCTCGCGCTATTGATCTCGAATTGTTACTGCGTGTTACGTTTATCTCTTCCTTCTTTTTTTTTTTTATAAAGAGAAAAACTTGTCTGCGTTTTTTAAACGAAGAAGCAAAAGGATATCCAATCTCGCAGCGAAATGATTTTGACTTTCGAGACAAAGAAGCCGAATACTCTTTCGTGGCGTCATCGCGGACGACTATGAGAACGATCACGAAATAGTAGAGAATCGAGAAGGGGAAAAGGTGTCTGTCGCTCATTAATCTTGTTTTGTTGCGCCTAAGGCACTGCGCGCGTATTCACCAATCATCGCCGCTTGTTTGAATCGCGTTCGAGCTACGAAAAATAAGGAAATACGACACAATTTGGTATTTTCTCTCTCGAGTTTTCCTCGAACACGTCCGATATTTCTTTGCCCGCTTACCTAACTTACGCAAGTTACGAAATAGAATTTAATTTTGCCAGAAGCAGACGCGCGCACGGTTACACCAGATTTCTTCAACCTCGTCTCACTTTCTTTTCTGTTAATCGACTCGTATATGCGATTTTTACACGTCTGTTATAAATGCGCTCTATAAAAGCGCATGCAACGAGTCCGAGAGTTTAATGCATACACAATTGAAAGGATTCTCGATACATTAGCGTTAACAGCGGCTCGGGGAATTGACTCATATACTCACTTGACGTTGATCTGTTGCATGGAATGTTCTTGCTGTAAATAAAGCTGCTGCTGATATCCACCAGCGTCCAGATTCAGACCGTCCGGTGATTGCTGCATGCCGCTACCTTGCATCATCTATAAACGACACGAATGTAACACTCACATAGAGAAAGCGCCAATAAATATCTCGTATCTACGAACTGTATATGTAAAACAGAAGACCGCACTATCTAATAGAAAACAAAATGATTCAATTATACATTTTGCGAATTCAATTTAAATACCGCGGAAACTAAAAAAACAAAACAAAACAAAACAAAAACAACAACAATAATCGCAATGCAAATTCGTAATTGTAGAATATTTTAATGCCGCAAATAACATATAGTATTTTATTATTTTTGTACATTACTATGTTTAATTCAACTTCCGAATATAATTTTCGAGGAATTTTCCACACTTTCTGCGCGTGTTTTTGTTTAAATTTTTGGGCAGAAATACAATATAGTTTCAAAAGCAACTTTAAGATAAATTTGGTTACGATACAGTTCTCTCTCTCTCTCTCTCTCTCTCTCTCTCTCTCTCTCTAATTTTTCCCGCTAGTGTAATAAATAATAAAGAAAAACTATTTTAAAAACCTAAAAATCTTAAATATATAAATTTACAAAATGTGGATTAATATAAAAGAGAAAAACTAACTCGATCATCAGACTGCAAAATAAAGATAGAGTTTTTTCAGAAAAACAATTGCAACAAATATTTTTCAAGTTTTTTTGATATATTTTCTGAAAATAAAAGAACAACTTCCCTGAGAATTGCAGAAATTTTTTCAGGTAGCGAAATGTGATTATTATTAAAACTTGTAAATCAGTTTCTCTCTCCACGCGAAGAGAAATCACACGAATTAATTATTACTCTCTCAAGGCTCGCTTAACTCGCCGATAAATATCGTAGAAATTCTACTGCGCATTTAAATATCTTTATGTTTTTATTTCGAGGTCAAAGAGAGAAGGGGAGAACAATGAGCGTGCGTCTAAAAATAAATGTCTTGAACGTAACATGAATAATGCCCGAATGCGGAAGTTGTTAACTGGTCGATATATCATTCCGTGACATCGTTTTTTTTTTCTTACGGTCATGTGCGTACATATTATAGAGTTGCTTTAAAATCTATAACCGTTCTATTTTCTAATATTTTTAACAGAGATTCGAGAAAACAAAAAAAAAGAATCACAATAAATCAATAATAAAAAACAATATAAGATTTCAAAGAGAGAATCTAAAATTACGATTTATAAAAAAAGTAGATAGTAAATCTCTATCAAAAAATGTACTTCCAAAGATTCGATTGTTGAATTTTTCAAAATTCAATATACATTAACGTATATGTATACGTATAATATGAGTCGATTGACATTAACATTCGGCAAACGAGCGTCGAAAAACGAACACACCTGCGGCTGGCCGTATGCTTGCATCGAGTCATGCTGCTGATGTTGCTGATGCTGCTGCTGCTGCTGCTGCTGCTGCTGCTGCTGCTGATGCGTGTGAATGGCCGGTATGTCGAAATCTTCGTCACCGAAACTCGGTGTGTGAAATGTCTGAGACAAATAAATTATACAGATAGACATTATGACTTTATCACTTTATAAGCCCCAACATGAAAGAAAGCAAAGATTTATACTTGGAAATATTTTGCGGATTTACCGCGCGACTTTCCCTCGTTAGTGAGTTTATCGTTAGAGAACCAAAGTTTTCTTTTTTGGTTGTTAACGTCTCCGTATGAAATGACGAAAAGAACAACAAAGATGAAAAGTTTGAAGGAAGAGCTTCTTTTCAGGAAGAAAGGGAAGAGAAGGACAGAGAGACGGAGGTCGACGTAAAAGTGGAATCAAAGAATCAACCTTTCGCCCGTCCCTTGGCGGATGATAGATAGCGTTATATTGTTCGGAATCCTTTTAGCAATTTATTCCCCTTCACAAAGGGGAAGGAAAATAAATTTGCCGTGGCGCGCGTGCGAGATAGTAGGGGAAATAAAAGTTTTGAAATTGGATTTAATAGCGTCAGGAATTTTCCTTTGAAGAAACACGCCTGCTTATCGATCGCTCGGCGTTCATATATACATATACATATACATATATATATATATGTGTGTGTGTGTTGTGTATACACAATATATATATTCGTCTGCCTTTTTTCCGCACTTTGTTTTATCCTTTATTAAAGTACCGCAAATATCAATGATGAAACGACAAAACTTTATAGAACTGAAATCAAACTAACTGCAAACGCACGCGCGTTGGCGTGCAACTCACGTGATGGACAGAACAAAACGAGGCAGGTGCTGTTGCGCGTAAAACCAGATTTATACGTGCCATTAATCGTTTTACTACGCCCAATTCCGCGGATCGTTTATCGCTAAATCCATTTTACGTTTACGCGCCCGTGACATCGTTAGCCGCGATAGTCGCGCCGAAACATTACGATCTAATTCGTGCGGTGGATAAGCCAAAAACCGATCGTTTTCAATTGCATTCCCTCCTTTTCTCCTTTCTCTGTCTCTCCTCGTAACAGAATTATCGTTAATTGATCGTCCACGCGTTGTCGCGTCCACTTGAGATTGTTTCTCGATACGCGTCTATTTTTCCTTTCAAAAAGATATTAAAATCCATATTTTTACACGCAAATTTCGCATGTAATCGAATTGCAGGTAAATAAGAACTTAAGAGTGGAAGGAAAAGGGACAAAGAAAGAATCTCTCTTGTGTGTGAACAGTGTATATACGTGTAAGAAGAGGGGAAGATAAAACGTAGAAGGTGAAGAGAGAAAAGCAAATGACGAAGAAATATCGTCTTCCTTCTCCTCCTCCTTCTCTTCCTCCTCTCACCGTCGTTTTTCTTTTTCTCACTGTGAACTAAACTCGTTCCGCCATCTCGTTAAAACTTGCGCGCGACTCTCGCAACTTGGTTCTTCTTCCTAAAGAAATATTATTTAGATGGTTTTCCTGGTTATGCAACCAGCCCAACCACTCCGCACAACCCTCATCTGTCTGCACCCCCAACTTCGATTTCGCGCTCACGTATACAAATTACGTATTATTTCAATGCAAACTGCTCGCGATAAATAATAATTCCCACACGAATTTCAAGTAGAAGGCAACGTTAGACGGGAAAACATACGGGAGCAAATACTTCCGCAAAATTCGGAATTGTAAAAAAATAAAAAAATAAATAACAATTAGCAGTTATCAACAGTGAATCAAGCTGTCGTTATTTAAGAAGCGAGATTTGTGTCTATGTACAACACACGGCACGAGCGTGCCGTGTTTTAGAAAGTTGGTACAGAAAGACGGACAAAGAGAGACCAGCTGCCGGAGCAAAAAAAAAAGAAACGACTGTCTTGATATCAAAGCTGAGAGAGTTGCACATAATTAATGAATGCAACGGAGAAAGTGCGATCGAACAAGCGCAACGTGAAATTAGCACCGCTAGAGAGAGAAGCGGTTAAACAAAAGTAGAATCTAAATTCTAAAATAAGAACTCGCGAAAACATTACAGCACATAAAGAGAAACCAGACGGTTTTTATAGATATAAAATTCGTACAAATTGAACGCATTTGTATATTATAAGTTGTTAAAAATATTGTTTCAAAAGTGCTTCTTGAGAATAGTTAGAGCGAAAATAGACACCGCACTATGACGACGACGACGACAAAACGAAACACAACGATCGTAAAAACGTGGAATTGGAACTTTTTATGAAGAAACGTTTCTAAGTATACGAACGCCCATAGAAATGCCAGAGTCGTAATAATACCATTCGTGTACAGCTTCCGTAATAATATCATAAAATATATCATTTCGCGGAATTTTTTCTTACTCGATTTTCTTTCAACGCAAATGTAACGACGAACAAAATGTAATGTTATTACATGTGTGTGCGGTATAAATCCTTTTTACCTCTTAATATTTGTAAACGTGTCTATGTAAAATTTCAATATTTGTAATCTAACGATTTTTACAGGTAAAAATTGATTAATTTTGACGTAAATTAATTACAATTAATTTACGTCAAAAAAGTAAAGTTGTGTGACGATTTTTTGTGAGAAGACGTCGGTTATAACATATAAAAAAAACTATATGGTAATTAGTTTTTGTTATCAATAGTCTTGTCAGAACCAAAATATTTGTTGTGCTACAGTCAAAAATCTGTATAGCTGAACTTTGCATCCGTGATTTTTACCAAATTAAACTTTCGTGCCGGAATTTCTTTATTTTTTCATTTTTGTGTTTGTAGTCAAACATTTGTTTCATTTGTTTAGCAAAACGTTCGCAAGATACGTGTAAATAATCTTTTTTTTACGTTATTCAGAATTGCGTTTTAGTTTTTGTATTTGTAGCAAAATCATATCGTTTGTTCACTGAATCTCGATAAAAGTCTCTGATGGATTACAGAATTTTGTTTTTTTTTTTTTTTTTTTTTTCACACTAATGGATATATATTTCTTCATATAATTTTAAACAAATTTTAAAAGTTTTATATTGTTAACCGCTGCGAGTAAATTGCCAATTCAGTTCTTCGTAAACATTTGACGAAAATCGCACGTGTACATACTTACAAAATTATATACAAAGAAAAATTTATCCGATCTATCTTAAACACGTAATGTCAACGTAATGTCAGTGTCTAATGCCACGTCGAGGTCAGATGCGATCAGGCGAGGTTGCGGAGCTGCGACAAACTCCGCTACCACCGGTTTTGAATAGCGATTAAAAAATCTTAATGGAAATAACCAACAAATTTTCATTCCCAATGAAATTAGAAATTAGATTAAATTTGATATTTATTCAATCGCTAACTTATGTTTTGCATTTTTCTTTTCCGTCTTCGATGTTTCTCGTTATCAAGAACGTTTTTATCGAAGCTGATTCATCGACATTTACAAGGCAACATCCGGTAGGTTAGGATAGATTTCGATTTTTATTTCGTGTTACCCGTATATGTTGTCGTAGCGTTAAAGGACAAAGTTGATAATATGTATACGTTAATCTGCATATCGCGCAGCTGTTATAAATATACATGTATGTACATATAAAAGTCCAGTCCTTTTATAAAAAGATTAATTTTACAAAGAGCCAACGGACATATCAATAAAATATATATATATAAACGAACGATATTGTATAAATAAAAATCGATATACAATTAGTATAACAAACGTAAGAAAAGATATAATAAACTCGCTTGATCAGTTGGTGTGTGTTATAAAGCGAATTTGCGCCGTCGATGCGAGTCATATCACCGACAGATATCGAACAAATTGTTTCAATTCGCTCACCTGATCGGACATATTGTAACCGTCGTGATGATATGATGTTTGATGATGTTGTGGGACGTTCAGAGATAGGTCAAGGTTGTCGTTTCTCTGTAACAAATAAAAGTGAAGAAATTTGTTTAGCGACGAAAACAACAGCTATTAATAAGCATTAATACGAGCTTCTTACACACCGGGCAATCAACGTAAACGATAATAGCGGAGCTTTATATTATCGGAAGTATTAACTCTAGAATGGCATATACATATGTTCGTTTCTCAACGGACGAAAAAACAATATAAATTACATTACTAGTTTAATAAATTAAAAATTATATAAATCAAATTAAAGAGATAAGATTTATAAGAAGTCGTACTTCTCTTATAATCTTATTCTTTAAACTTTTGATTTATATCTTTTGGAATTTATACTTTTTTGTAATATTAAAATTATAACAAGATTTCGAGCTCAAGCAACATTTGCGAATATATACCACATCCAGAGTATTTATAGTTTATAAATATTAATAATATTGTTGGAATTTCGCGAGAATTATCGCGTGTTGAGGTATAAAACGACGTGGCGCGACGCGACGAACGGAATGCGCGCGACAGAATTTCGGAAAAGCGTACATTCGTAATCAAGATAGTTGCAAGTGAGTTATGCCGATGGGCAATGTTTGACATTTCGTAGTGACGGCCAGACGTTAGCGCAGGGCGTTACCGCGTTCCACCGAATACAGCAGCCGCCGGAACGAGAGCAATGCGATGAGCATAGCTGTACCTTCGTTCCACTCCCGAAGGAATTTCACGTGCGTGTACGTCGCGGGTGCTGCAGCTTCTTAAAAAAAAGAAAAAATTACTTTTAAGCTGGTGATAAAAAAAAATGACACAGACGGTTTTAGATCGTCGAGAATTTTAAAATAAATTATCGAGAGATGTATCGATGGATCAATTAAAAAAAAAACATTATCAATCTAAATCGGATAAATTGATCGACATGAATGCTGAAATTTTTCGAGCAATATAATCACAGATTTATATGATTTATATCGTTATACATGCGAATCAAAAGCTCGAAAATAAAAAAAAAACAAGCAATTCAATAATATTTAATTTATTAAGTAATAAGAAAAATATTACTTAAAATATATAAGAATGTTTTTAAATTTTTTAACCCATTAATTAAAAACCATTGTTTCTTCGTTATTCCGCGATACCGAATATGCGAGACAATTGAAATATCCGATTATTGTACGTATGTATGTGTATGTTAAACGCCGTAAAAGAACACAAAAAGAAGTTATTGAGCGAAGAGAAAGTTACGCCGTTAAGACACGCGTATGACTGTTACAAGTCTCATATTACGCCATATAAAACAACCAGAGAAGCACATAGTCTCTTTGTTAACCTAAAGATGTCAGAACTCTTTTAAATTGCAATATTAAACGTGAAAGTGCACGTACGCAGATAACAAGCTACGAGATATAATGAACAAATGAAACAAACGTATTTTTTTCGATATAAAACTATACACCTCTTTTTGCTGTAAAACAACATACAATAACGCTCTTGTTCAACACACATTATATATATATATATATGTATATGTATTTATAATAACACAATCATTAACTCTCAACTATTATACACTGACTAAATCTAGTCTATATAACTACACTCGCGGGATAGTTTTCTATCTCAAATTTTGATAAGTTTTAACTGAAATAAAATTTACAAAGTTTTTTTTTTGCTGGAATATAATAATTAACGTCGCTTGTGTCACGCAAGTAATGTGTGCGATGAAACATGTTTGTATCTCGCTCTAGCGTAATTAAAGATTAAATATCTAATTAAACAACTGTAGAATATAGTATTTTTATAATCATATTTTATTTTTTCAAATAAGAAGAAATCCCCCAATACACATATTCTATAATTATATTTTATAATCTACATAAATGTAAATATAAAATGATAAAATTGTACATTTATTACAACTAAAGGCAAAAAAGTTGAAATAAATTTTATTTGTAAGGTTTTTAATTGTCAAAAAAAAACCAACTGTCAGAAGAACTTTCTCTCTGCAGTTTTTTGAAACATTTTGCATCGTAACAAATAAATAATATGAGACGTGTTGACACCCAGCGCGCGCTGTTTTCCTTCGAATTCTTTTAATGTCACTACAATGTGCGTATGCATGCGCATGCATTTTTCATGACTTTGTGTTCAACACGGCGCATGTGTTTCGAGAACTTGTGTGTTGCGCGCATTGATGCATTATTTACCGTTCGGTATAATTTTACATTTTGTGGCAACACAAGCCTTTCCTCTTTTCCGTATGCTTCTTGTTATTGTTTCCTAGACATACGCGTTTCGTGCGTGCGTTTGGATTTAACTCAAAATCAGACGGAGTGTGTTACAACAATGCGATTATTATGCGCATTAAATATTCAAATATATTAAATATTCAATATATATCGTTGTTTGGTCTACAATTCTGTGGCCCGTATTTATTAGTCATGTACAACCAGCTGTGAAATAAATCTTTCCGAGTTAAGTAAAACAATATTTGTGACGGTGGTTCGTGACGATTTGAAATATGTGGAACATTCGTTGTAACGTATTTTCAAATGTTTTCATTCCAACTTCTTAAATGAAATAAATATCCAACGGCCGTTCCCTTGCCGTCCAACGGCGATATCGTCGTAAATAATCATCGAGAAAATGATTTGTAAAAAAAAAGCAATCGTTTTTTGTCGTGATAACAAAACATTAACGCTGTTTTGTATAGGTACTTTTTTTTTATTTTTGTCAGCTGATTATATGATAGAAAACGAGTAACGCTCGAGCAATTTAGCGGAGCAGATGAACCTCGATGAGCCATTGCTTAATTCCGAATTTCGCTCGCCGAAGTAATAAGTTCCGTCTAGTAGTGTTACGCTCTTCGAGCTATTAATATGACGAGTCAGTACTTGTGTTAAATTCGCGCGGAATGTCGCGTCATTATGAGATCATGACTCGGAATTGCGAAGATAGCTCTCGCGCGTATAGTGCTGATGATCAAGCTGATTTGTTTCTTTTTTGTAAAAAAAACCAAAACAAAACGACCAAAGGTTTTCACATTTTAACAATTTCTATACAACAATTTAATCAAATAATTCAATTGAACACGGCAATTTTATTCCAATTTTATTTTAAAAACTCGAAGTCCAAAATTTTCTTATAATAAAAAGTGTCGAAGAAATTACTTTGATCATCCAGTCTCTTTTATCCTTCACATGGTGTTTATTTTCGCGGCCTCGCGCCGTAAAATTCTGACGAAATAAATTTCACTTAAATATTTGAAACCTGTAAATTATTACCGTTCATATTAACTCTCTCTCTCTCTCTCTCTCTATTTTGAAAGTTTATGAAAAAAATAACGCAACACCTACTTCGTCAATCCAAAAAAAAAAAAAAAACCATTAAAGTATAAAAACGATAAAAAATGATATTCGGAATGTCGTGATTATCTTGAAAAAAAAATATTCTTTCTATTGCAGTAAAAAACATGACAAATGATTCGTTAAACATTTATCGTTCCGAGTCCGCGTTATCTCGAACTTCGGTAAAATGAGGTTAATATCCTGTTTACAGACTCTACACAACGTTTCTTATCTCGGTAATAACTTACACGGTCGTTATTTGTTAAATAGCCGCGATTCTACACGAGATAAGCTGCAGTTTTAGTCTTCGAGACATGGTTTCTTGAAAAACTTTTCGCAGTTTTTCTCGTTACCTTTTCTTCTTGTAACCTGCTATGCAAATGGACGATATATTGGCGATATATTATCGATTGAGATATAATCGGCAAGTAGGCGAGGCGGTATAAAGAAGAGATAATATATATAATATCAAAAATAAATAAAATCACGCGCTCCACTCGCGAAAAACGACGAGCGTTAACGCGGTGAAAGTCGACATTAATCGCCTCGCATTAATCAACCGGCAAGTATCACAACGACAGATGGTTACGTCAAAAGACGCGCGAGTGTGTGTGCGTGCGTGCGAGTTACGATAGGATATTTCATCAACAGGCGTCGTGTGTCCTGAAATTGTGAAAACTCGCTTTTCTCTTCTTTTCGAACATTCTTCATCGAGCAACGAAACGCGCGCGGCATAAAGCCGGTCTATATCGATTCAATACTAGCAATAGCAAAGCAGAAACGCACATGATCAATATGCATATATGCTTCTCTATGCAAATCGAAAATCGAATAAAAAGTATCTTTATATACTGGCACTAATAAATTGACCGAGCAAAAAGTCCGATACACGTCGCAACGCGCATAATCAAACGCGCGGCTTGCGAAACGCACTGAAAAGTTTATCACGCGTGCAAATAAAAGAAGAGTTTATTTACGCGTAAAAAAACTTTTGTTTATTTATTTACGCGCTGTAAAAATATTTATTATTTAACGATTCGCTATATTCGAGCGTACCAAATATTATACAGAGAAAGACACATTCAAGAGAAAATTGTTGGGAAATACAACGCGAGAAAAACTCAGAGACAAGAATTTTCGAAAGCGCGCCGAAAATTGACCAAGATGCGTGATTGTAACTTAAAATACATTTATCATTTGTGAATTTAGGTATTCGTGTATACCAACTGCTATAAGAAAATTGTTAAGAATTATGACGTGCAATATATATAAAAGAAAAAATTGTCGAAACGTTCGGCAATCAATGCGGAGACGAACGAGCGCCAGAAAATAACGCGTAACTAAGAGGCGTTCTCGAGTTATATAGCGTGTTCTTACGGCCAAGGAACACAATGGACGCTTTACAACCCGGCAACAGAGCGAAGCTCTACCTGCGTGTATAACCGTTTTAGACGTAAGGGGGTTCCATTGTGGAGCCCACTTCTCTCTCGGGCCTGCCTGCTGTTACTCGTTTGTTGGGAAAAGGTATTCTCTCCCCGTATTTCTTCTCTTCTTCTTCTTCTTTCTCATCGTCCCTTCTTCCTTCGACTTGCTCGCTCCGTTTCGCTTCGGACGCCGCGTTCTACTCGCACGATCCTTATCGCAAATTTACTTCTCCATTCATTTTTGCGCTGTGACAGCTCTCGGATTTGACAAATGGTGCACACAAGTGCTCGAACTATACGCAGATGTATATCCACATATGATAATGTATATCTACTTTTTCTTTCATTGTGTGCGTGTGTGTGTGTGTTGTGTACGGAAAAAAAATTCTTATCTAAGAAGTGACCGAATGTCATACAATAATAAATCCTTTCGAATCTTCAAAATAATATTTTCTAGCTTCTCCCTTTTTTTCTTCGCGGATATATATCTATGGTCGCAAGGAAAAACGCCACACATGTCACAATTTCAAAAAAGATAAAAAAATGACAATGACCTTGAAATCCTAAAAAATATGACCTTAAGAAAAATTTCTTATTTATTACAATATTTATCTCCTGGAACTGAATAATGACCCTTTTCGGCATCCTCTTATCATAAAAAGTAAGCGAGATATTTAAGATGCTCAAGTTAAGTGGGATACCCTATATATATATATATATCTGTCCTTGTTGAAAACACGCATTGTAGAAAATATACATCGTGTCTTACAGCGATATAAAGACAATCCACATAATTTCTTGTGAGTTTTTAATTTTTTAACAGAGACGTGCGTGAAAATTAGATATCTTTGATCGCGTTTCAGTTTGTTATGTTATTGGGAGAGAATATAATCACGGTCAAAAATTGGATATCCTTGATCGCGTTTCAATTTGTTATAACACACACAAAAGGAATCACGCGCAAAAATCGAATATCTTTGATCAGGTTT